GGATCTCCTCCTCGATTGGAGTGAGATTGCTATTCTGTGGCATATAGTCCTCTCGAGCAGGACTTCCTTTCAATCTCCGAAGCAGCGTTGATTTTGAGACACCGTAGGTTTTTGCAGCAGCATTTACAGATCCTATGTCACCTGATCTGAAAGCTGATATTGCAAGCAGTACACTCCCTTCGTTTGAGCTCTTTTGGACGCGTTTTGATGGTGCCATCGCGTGTTGAAGTTGTTGTTGTTATGGACACGTAATTCGTGGACCACGCCGTGGGGTGGACCGCGCTCTGGTGTTTGACGTTAACACCTACCTGGGCTAGGTGGTTAGGTACTGTGATAACAAGACAGTGTGATGAGTTCTCCATCGGTTCGCATTGGTTCGTTCGTGGCAGAGGATCGGACTGGACACCGGACTGCACTGGACTGCACTGGACACCGGACAACACTGGACACACACTGGACTTCGCTTTCGGGTTCGGCGGCTATGTATGATGACGTACTAAAGCCTATAACATATCCAACTACTGTATACGCACATCTGTCATCGCGTCAACACCTGGGCCGAGTCCTGTACTGTACTGCAAGTTTCGAGAGGTCTGTTCGGCGATGAGCAACCATTGGAAATCTGTTGTTGCTGCCAACAACACATAACGCAGCGAACGAAACCCTGTGACTCTTTCGTCGCCTGTAACAAGAACAAGACAAACATGCACCTACCTCCCTTCTGTAGTAGACGGGCTTTTGTGATATGAGAGTTGGATACATCCTCCCTCTATGCAGTAACCAAAGTAGCATGAGATATCTATCCCTTCTGCTGCTGCTGCTGCTGCTGCTGCTCCTCCTCCTCCTCCTCCTCCTGCTCCTGCTTCCGAAATTTTTGAAAATGGTGGCCGCGGTGAGTGAGCGAGAGGGAGAGAGAGGGGGGGGGGGTTGCACTGCGTTACTGTATCATTCATCATACATGCACGTGATCAACGCGCTCTTTCTTGTTTGAGGAGACCTCGATGGTGTGATTCCATACAGTTGTACTCGACCCTAACAGCCAGTCGCGGAACATCGTTTTGCCGAAGTCACCTGCGACTGCTGCTTACGTGATGACAGTGGAGAACAAGCAAACGCAGGAAGATCCGCTTCTGAGATCCATGGATATACCTGAGTATCTAGGTAGCACTCATATCATCTTCGGGATCGTCAACCGCAGGCCTTCTCTCCGTCGTTGGCGCCTGTCTGTGAATATGTATATATATATAATACTGCAGGTGTACTGCTCAATGCCGACAATACCATACAATTTCAATCGTGTCCGCCTGGGAACTCGCGACCGCTGCCCTGTCCTTCACTATCCTCGTCCAGTTCAACTTTCGGGAGACAGGTTTCTCCGCCATCTGGACTAAATCCTGGGGATCAGATGATCCGAGGACGATTGATCGATTCGCTTGTACTGTACTACAACATGAAGATGCAACATCACGTCCACTCTCTCCATCTCTCTCCCTCAAGCTGTATCCCGTCGTGTCGTAGATCTGTCCTTCCCATCACACATCTCGGAATCTCTGTCATTGATCATCTCCCACTCCATCCGGTGGCCATGTAGAATAGGCAGCATTGAAAATCCAAGCATCGCCTCCTCCATAACAATAGGCCAAGTCACAGTCCCGACCTAGCCTCCTCCTCCTATCATCCGCCCTACATTCCCTGCTCTCCGTCGGTCATGGCCGATGTCAAGTCCACCGCCGAAGAGGTGATCCGCACCACCGACTATCACGAGAAGTCGCGGACCTCGGAGCACCGCGAAGATGACTCTCCCAAAGGAGCCGTCCACGAGACGGTCCTCAATGCGAAAGCCGCCACCGACAAGGAACATCGCATGACCCTGCTGCAGGGCATCAAGCTCTACCCCAAGGCCGTGGCCTGGTCGGTCCTGATCTCCACCTGCATCGTCATGGAAGGCTACGACATCAGTCTGATCAACAACTTCTACGCCTTTGACACCTTCAACCGGAAATACGGCGTGGAGATCTCCCCGGGCAAGTATGAAGTGCCGGCGGCTTGGCAGGCGGGCCTCAGCAATGGCGCCAATGTGGGAGAGATCATCGGATTGTTCATCAACGGATTCATCAGCGAGCGGTTTGGGTACAGGTATCGTTTTCTTTCCTTTTTGTTTTGCCCGATCTCGAGCGACTCATCTCGGGGGAGAGGCGGGCTACTGAATCACATATCTTGACCCTAGGTACACTCTCATGGCGTGTCTCATGCTCGTCACGGGGTTCGTGACCATCTTCTTCACGGCCCAGAACGTCGTCCACCTCCTCATCGCGGAGATCCTCTGTGGGATCCCGTGGGGCATCTTCCAGACCTTGACCATCACATACGCCTCCGAGGTCTGCCCGGTGGCGTTACGGGGCTACCTGACGACCTACGTCAATTTCTGGTGCGTACGAGGAGGGACGTTCCCGCCTCCGATCGGTACACACGGCTGATTGCGTTTCCTAGCTGGGGTTTGGGCCAACTGATCGGCGTCGGCGTGATCAAAAGCATGCTCGGCCGGGCCGACGAATGGGCCTATCGCATCCCCTACGCCCTCCAATGGATCTGGCCGGTCCCCCTCTTCATCGGGATCGCGCTCGCGCCCGAGAGCCCCTGGTGGCTGATCCGCAAGGGGCGGGTCTCCGACGCGAAGGACTCCCTCCTGCGGCTGACCAGCCTCGACCGCGAGACGGGCTTCGACGCCGACGAGACCATCGCCATGATGGTGCACACGACCGCGCTCGAGGCCAAGGCGATGAAGGGCGCCTCGTACCTCGACTGCTTCCGCGGGGTCGACCGGCGGCGCACGGAGATCGTCTGCCTGGCCTGGGCGATGCAGAACCTCGCGGGCAACTCCTTCTCCAACTACAGCACCTACTTCCTGGTCGCGGCCGGCGTCAGCCAGTCGAACTCCTACTCCTTCGCCATGGGCCAGTACGCGATCAACATGCTCGGCGTCTTCGGCGCCTGGTCCCTCATGGCCGGGGGCGTCGGGCGGCGGACGCTCTACCTCTACGGCCTCGTGGGGCTCTGCGCCATGCTCTTCGCCATGGGCTTCCTGGGGCTCGTGCCGGCGGCGCACAAGGAGCGGGCGGGCCTCGCGACGGGCTCCATCATGATCCTCTGGGCCTTCATCTACCAGCTGACCGTCGGCACCGTGTGCTATTCCATCGTCGCCGAGGTCGCCAGCCGCCGCCTGGCCGTCAAGTCGATCGTGCTCGGCCGCAACCTGTACAACGTCGTCGGCATCGTCTGCTCCGTCCTGACGCCCTACATGCTGAACCCCAGCGCGTGGAACTGGTCCAACTTCGCCGGCTTCTTCTGGGCGGGTGAGTTGTTCTTTTCTTTTCCTTTTCCCTCCCCCTGATCTCGTCCTTCGATATTTCCCCCTTCTTTTGCCGACCAAGTTCGCACATCTGCCCGGAGGCTGACGCGTGCGGCTTTTCATCCACAGGCATCTGCTTCCTCTGCGTCATCTACACCTACTTCCGCATGCCGGAGCCCCGGGGGCGGACCTTCGCCGAGCTCGATCTGCTCTTCGAGCGGAAGGTCCGCGCGCGGGACTTCGCCCGCGCCGAGGTCGACGTCTTCGACGAGCAGCTGGACGACAGGCTCATCGCGCGATACAAGGGCGAGGGCGCGGCGGCCTACGCCTCGTAGACGATGTGCAGAGATGAAATGACATTATGCTTATATGAGCCATTGACGATTCTATGAACCCCTGGAGATTTTTTTGGTCGTGATTTTACCCGCGTTCGCTTGATGGATGGGCCTGATGAGCTGCCGCGTGACTTCCGTAGAGTATCCCGTCGACCGGTCGGCTCCCCAGTGAGATGGCCGGCTCCGTGTCATTTCACGAGCAACCTCGACGTCGCGAATCGCACGGTCAAAGAAGGCACGTGGAGTCATGACAGTAAGAAAGTTTGTCCATGTGTCATTAGCGGTCATATACATGTATTGTCCAGAAACACCTCGAAGCGAGGAAGAGAACAAGAAAAGAAAAACCAGATGTGATCGCTCACCATCCCAAAATCCAAGGAAAGCAAAAAGGGTCACGATCTAGCAAAAGAGAAGAAAAAAATAGGAAGGTTACGAAATGTAAGACGGGATGCGGACCTGGGACGGTTTCGTCCTCGCCCCCAAAAAAGAAGAGGAGAGAAAATATTACCGCAGGAGTGTTGATTTTCACTCGGGAGAAGAAATGGAGCTGGACGGAGCGGCGTGGATCTGCCAGTACTTCCCGACCGCGTCCTTCATGGCGGCGATGCGCTCTTCGCTCCGCGCGTCCTGGTCGTATTCCGGGTGCGTGACGTCTTCGCCGAGGACGTTCCTCCGCCGGCCGGTCTGCAGGTAGTGGATGAAGTCGAGCGTGACGTCGACGTACTGCAGCACGCCCTCCCGCGCATCGATGGTCGAGCCGGTGGTCCAGGAGAGCAGAAAGGGTTCGATGAGCGGGGCGTCGGTAGGCGAGGGGTGCGTGGTGCCTTTGGAGGTGGCGAACCAGGCGGCGCGCCTGGCCGCGCCCGCGCCCGCGCCCGCGTTGACCTGTTCGGCGATCGATTTGACCGTGGAGAAGTGCGGGCGGCCGTGGAAGATGGTGAACTTCTTCGACCAGGACTCCGAGTTGATGATCAGGATCGGCACCGAGATGTCGTCGTTCAGCGGGCCGGAATGCTTGCCCGGGTCGAGCGCGATGGCGCCGATGAAGGGCCGCGCGGGGGAGGGGGCGGCCTTGAGGGTCTGCATGGCGAGCGTCGCGCCGAACGAGTGGCCAGCGATGATGACCTGCTCCATGTCGAGTCTGTCCTGCCATGCGTGTAGGTCTGCTCCTTCTCGGCGCGCGTTGCTCTTGTGGATTTCCAAGCCCTGGCCATCGTTGATCTTGTGTAGAACGCGGACAGCTTCCTCGATCTCAGCCTCCCTCATCGCCAATTGCATGATCTTGTACGCGCTGACGTCTGGTGTGGGATCCAGCTGCTCGGGACTGATAGGAAACACTTTCCGCTTGGAGCCATTGTGCATGACGAACGATCCTGGCCCCGATCCATCTCGATGCTCGACGGCAACCACAATATACCCTCGTGAAGCTAGCTCACCACAGAGCTGTGTATAGCTTGTCCTCGATGATGCCATGCCGTGTGAGAATATGATGACGGGGAACCTGGATGCCTGCGGCCCATCCTTCACTTCCTCTTTCTGCGACTCCGACCGCTCGTAGACCAGAGGAGCATCGACATTGGCGGGGAAGGTGGTCGAACCGGCAAGTGCCCAGAGGGCGACTTGGAAGATCCGATTGGTGAGGAAGTTGTTGCATTTCGCGAACCGGGCGTATCCTTCGGCGGTAAACGAGAGTGGCTTCTCCACCCAAGGATGACGCCGGCGTCGCGTCTTGACCTCCTTCACGGCGGGATAGAAGAGCGAGAACAGGACGGTATCGACCTCGAAGGGATGCACGCCAGTGTCTCGGAGCACGACCTCACTGGACCGCCGCTTCTCGCAGGGCACTTCGATGTCGACGGTGCCGACGGCATAGGGCCCGGAGTACTCGGGCAATTTGCTGCTGAGAAGCGGCATGTTGGTGAGGTGACAGAATAGGAAGTAGAGGAGACAAACGGCGACGACGACGTATCTCGCGGTCCATCGTGGCCGGACCAGTTGATAAAGTTTATTCTGAATCATGGTCTAAGACGACCGATGGATGAAGCTTGACTCGATCCAGTCAGTCCTGGGACTGGGTTCCCTGTTCCTCACGCGCGGCCATGATGAGTGGAAGCTGCAGGCTTCGGTGTCCTGTCGCGCAACATCCGCTGCTTGATTGGACAGTACGAAGACCTAGTGACGTGCAATATACAACTACACATTCGTGTGCATGTGCATATTCCTGCGATCAGCATTGGCAGTTCGTTCAGGAAATCCACGGGTATGCGCGCGCGCGGCTGGACGGGCACCAGGGCTTATCTCCGTCCGCAACGCTTTCGACGTCACTTTCATATGTCCATGACGCGCTCCCCGGCAAATTCAAGCCGTCATTCCTCCAGGCCATTGGATTTATTATCGTGTTAACCGACACCACGTTCCCGAGGCATTCCAGTATCCACAATACCATTTGTTGACTCCAACATGAAAACATCATGTGGGACGTACTCAAGCACCAATCGTATGCGGGGTCTGAATAAAATACCTCCGTGTACTTTGGAAAGGGTGATACCCATAGAAGCGTGGCAATGCCCACGTTGAAGGCCGGACCTTGGGTCACAGGAGCCAAGCGTGTTCGCCTGAGTCAGCGAGACAACCGAACCTCACGCCGGCCTGCATCGTCAGGGCTTCGAGGTCGAGCACTTCAGCTTCTGACATTCTGACGATCAGCATATGTCCACCTACTGTACGTTGGTGCTGTCCTTGAGTGCATTGTACAATCCTATCAGACGTGAAAGGAGGCGCTTCAGAATGATAATGAAGAAAGTAAATCGCATGAGAAGAAAACAGATCGCAGTGTCTAAAGGGTATGATGGTATTCGTAAAAGGTATCAAAAGTCTATCATATAAAAGTCGTTGACCGGTGACAGGTCATTGTTCGAACATCCTATCCGAAAGACAGCATGAATCGAGCACGGCGTAAGAGTCGTGTGTAGAAAAGTAAAAAGAGTCAGAACGTTTCCTCATTTCCGTCATCAGAATGGGTCCCCGATATGACCATCGTGCCCAGTCTGTGGTATTGCCTCAAATCATATGTGCAGTAACTTCGCAAAAGTCGTCATCCTGATCGATGTATCGTCAGCCGGTGTGTACAAGGGAGGACGATCGGTTTATCAAGTACTCACCAGGTGGTCCAGGGGTCGCTTAAACGGCCTTGGTGGGGAAGTGAGGAGGGAAGGTGACGGTGGGTCCAGTAATGGTGGGGAAGGTAATGGTCACGGTCTTGAAGGTCGGGAAGGCGATGCTGGGGATAGAGATCTTGGGGATGCTGATGGTCGGGATGGCGATGGACGGGAGGGTGACCTTGGGGATGTTGATGGTGATGGTCGGCACAGCAATGGTGGGGAGGGTGACCTGGGGCACGCTGATGGTGACGGCGGTCGGGACGACGATGGTGGGGAGGGTAATCTTGGGGATGCTGATGGTCGGGATGGCGATGCTAGGGATGGTGACCTTGGGGATGCTGATGGTCGGGACGACGATGGTAGGGACACCGACGCTGGCGCTGACGCTGACGGTCACGCCGGCCGAGACGGTGACACCGCCCTTGGTGGGGGAGACGGTGACGACGGCGGAGGAGACGGCCTTGGAGGGCGCGGCGGTGGAGACGGCGGAGGAGACAGCCTTGGTCTTGGTCGGCGGGTGAGGGTGAGGGCCGTAAGGGTAGTGGGGAGCAGAGGCCTTGGAGACAGCGGCGGAGGCCTTGGAGACCGCAGCCGGGGCGGCGACGGCGAGGCCGACGAGCGAGGCAATGATGACAGAGGCACGCATCTTGATGACTTGGAGTTCTGACTCGGGGTTGATTGAGTGAGTGGAGTAGAGCGAATGTCTTGTGAGCGAATGTACTGTGATGACTGGAGCAGAGACGACGATATGGTGAGGTCGCGACGTAGCTTTATATCAAAAGATTCTTGCTTCGCGTGCGAAGGATTTGCATGTGTTGTGTCGATCCACGAGAACGAGAGACATCCAAGCCGAAGCACGATCTGGATGCACCATCCGGGTGAAGCTTGCAATAGCACAAAAGTCCGCGAGTGACTAGCCTTCTGGTGAAGGTCCTGCAGTAGTTTCAAAGTCAATGAGCGCCATGCCTTGCCCACTCTCAGCTTACTGCTAATAGTGCTAAGCACCCAATATGGGCCCCCTTCGAGATGCTGGTAGCGTAGAGAGCACGCGGGTGTCCTTCGACCGAGGTGGCCTTCTAGCCGGCGCGGGTGAAGCATGTCTCTCATTCTGATGACCGGGGTCAACTTTCTCAACAGATAGAGCTGGCAGATCATCTCTGTCTAGCTGTGACTGTGCTCCCCGAGCTTTACTTGTGGACAGGGATAGCACATGCTCATCCCACGTAAGGCCACACGTCATGTCCCGGAATACTTCCTCTACGTGAAGCGAGGATTTGTCTTCAATCCATCGTGTCTGACTTTCGAAACGCGTCGGCTCGCCCTCCATGTCCTGTCATGTGGGTACCAGCTCAACGTGCTTTCGAAGGACGGCTCACGTCATTGTGAAGAACGTTGGCTCGTAAAAATCGTAACGGAAGACTCCGGCTTGCCCTGCGCGACCGTCACCACAGCCTCTAGAGATAAAGATCCCGTGGATGGCGTGCTAGTGCTGTGGTGGTGACGGACGTATAGCAAGAGAGAGAAATCTTTCCAAATCATTGCGGCGTGTTTGGTGCAGAGGTGCCTCTGGTGCCTTTGTTAGCAAATTGTCGCGCAGGCAGCTACTGTATCATGCATCATGCCGTTAGGCGTGCTCCAGAAATTGATTTACGCTTGTTCTCGACGACATTGATATGGGAAGGTCCTTCCATGGCCCTTGGACACCGAGATCTCACCTGCTTTGATTTCTAATTCCGTGGGCGCTACATCGTGATAGACTTCGCGGAGTGCTGAGCCACGGTCCTCCAGACTTCAACGGTCGCAACGGCGCTCCTGCTTTTCCCCAATAGATGGAAAAGTTGGGGGGGTGGAGGGTGCGCGGATTTGAGTTGCTGCCAGACATGTTGACAGCCGACTGTTGGGAAGTCTGTCCTGACTCCACTAGCGCCATGCACTGCCTGCGGAGCTAAAGATGATCTCGCAGGACAATCTTTATTGAGGCCGAAGAATTTAGACCGAGAGCGTGCGCAGCGGCCCAATTGCCTTCTGGCTGTCCATGTGTATGGGTGCGGGCAAGATTTGGTACAGCAAAGGGTAGGTACCTAGGTCATCTTCTCACGATGTCTCATGTCTCACACTCCCTCTTTATCGAAGTAGTCCAGCCCGACGATGTTTCTCAGTATTTGCTGCTGTTGGCGCGGGAGGAGGCTTTCCGAGTTTTGTCCCACAACGTCCAGCCTTAGCTACATAGCTATCGCAGCTGTCCATCATCAATGAGTGAGGCTGTTTTCGGCCCAGGAACGCGCACTGAAGTGCAAAAAGGCGCAGCCTGATACAGTCATGATCGACAGTGTGAGCCGGACGGTGCCTGGAAGCACTGCTGATGAATTTGGCGAGATTTCTCTCTGTGCCATCTACGATCCACCTCGGCACGTGCTCGGCCGGTCTATGTGCTGCAGCTTCATTGTCTTTAACGACCTCATTGACTACCATAACCACAACATACATGGTCTTGTGTGACGCGATAACATTCCAGCCGGTGGAAGGTTTCGATCAGACACCTCGGGCTTCCAAGCATTTTCGGCGGGATTCATGCTCGCTGTGCCTCTTTGAGAAAACGCCACAAGTCGAAGACTGCGTGCAATAGTCCAATATATTTTCTCGAGCCAGGCTTGGCAAGTGGGGATCATGATGATGCGGGACGCTGAACTGTGCTTTTGGATAACGGCTGCTTTCTCTCGTCTACGCGTCTGCAACTCTGGTAGCGTCGTCATGACTATTGCTTTTTTTTTGTGTTGCTCATCGCCTCGATACATGAATTGAAAAGAAATATACTGCCACACTGTACCTAGACAGTCTCGTCAATCTAAGTGATCGCAATCTAAGTGATCGCAATCTAAGTGATTGTGGACATAGATGATACCATCGTGATCATCGTCTGCTTCAGTTGAGCGTGAAGTGGGGCTGACTTCACGATACGGAATTCACTGCAATGAGTAACGGCCGCAGAGAGTGACATTCCACACCCCCAACCAGCTGCAGCCATTGTCGATCTCTTGTCGCAGGCGATCATTGAGCAGTCGAACAAGCTGTGCCGAGCTGACCGATGCAGGAACAAGCCTTCAGCCCTCCTCTACGGGATTCGAATGTGGTTGACCAGTGATGGCGTCGCCATCAAGCATGATGTGCCTGCCCCGCCGAGCGTGGTGAGAAGCTTAATTCCACTGCAGCAGTGTGCAGGACCGGACTAATGTGTGGCTTGCCGCGAGGCTTTCCTTCGAAAGAATCTTGACGGCGATAAACATTTGGCAATATCGCGACATTCACTGAGCTGTATCGTCATCTGGTCATCAGAATGGTCTCACCCGAATAATTACATTTCATCATATATATGAAGAGTTTCACTTGATGCTGGTGGGGCTGTGACAGTGCCATTCACACAATCCAGTGCACGATGCACACTCGTCGAAGGCCATGACTCGAGCAGCCAACATGCTGTTCATCGATATTCGTCCATGAATAAATTACTCATATTCTATTTGCCTCGATATATGGACATAGTGAGACCACACTGGTCTCAGGCATTCCGAGCAGAGGCAGGCTCTCACCCCGGTCTAGCCTTCTCCCAAGGTAAGCCACAAAATCTATTCTCCGCACTGCATCTCGATTATGAAGAGAGAGCAGCAGTTGAGTAATTAAGGTAAAATGGGGCCAATGGAATGGGAGCATCCTGCACAGAAAAAAAAACATCTGCCTTGAGCAGTAACCAAAGGAGGAAACATTTTGGCTGCTCTCCGATATGTTATCTCACCGGGGTTGGAGACTGATCGCCAAGCATAAGCTTGTCGGGTGCACAGACTCTTTCCCACTCGGCCCAGAACTACATGAAAGGCCAGAATGAAAGCGGGGGTGTTGGACAAGAGATTTCCGGGCCAACATGTCCACTCTCATATCGATTACAAGCGTGAAGGCAACGGGACGCCGTCATGGAGGGCGTCGTTGATCTCGATAGTGCCCCAGTGCGTTGAGAGTCCGTGATGAGATCGAACGCATGGCAGACCGGGCTTTCACGTGTGAATTATCGTCGTGGGACACTTCAAGACCATTCCCAATCAAGAATGCAGTGCGACGAGCATCAAGCAACTCCAGTCATCAACATCGAGGTCAAGCGGTGATGCTCGTTCTCGGGCGCACACCTGCAAGCAGGGATTGGAGTCCGACTTCACCGACGTCTAGGACTGTCGAACCCCGGACAAGAATGTCATCGCAGCGAGCGTACAGGGAGAGACACAAAGCATACGGGCGTATCAACGCTTTGCAAGACAAGTAGATAGTCCTAGATGTGAGTAGCTCCGGTCGATCATCATCAGAGATCTCAAATCATAGAGTTCACTCGAGCCAGAGCTTGTGTCCCAGCAACCTCGAGATCGCCCAGGATAACCGGGACGTTCTCCAGGGATATAGCCTCAGGAAGCACATGTTACTTAGTCATCACGATAAGCTCGCACGGCACGTTCCGTGCGAGATATGATCCGTCTCACGTGCGCCAAGCCCCGCGCAGGGATATCTACAATGATCTTCAATGATCGTCATCGCCAATTGACGCAGCAGCCGCGACGCAGCAACGAACACCGACTGTGCTCCACAAACCCGCAGACACTCTCCACATCATGTCTTCATCCTCGCCGCAGGTCCAGCTGACTGCGGACTATCATGGTCCCGACGGGGCTCATCGCATTGCCAAAGACCTCCCCCAGACCCCAGCCGCTGCAGGGAGTGAGGAGGGCAGCGATGTCGAGGCAAAGACTGAATACTTATCAGCCCTGCGCAACAACGTGGTGCAGCTCCAGGCGGACATCAATACTTTTCTCACGCAGAAGATGGAAGAAGACAAGGCCGCAGGTGCCGACGCGCAAGACGGGAGAAAGGCGGACGAGAAGGAGGAGGAGATGTATGGCGAGGAGGACCCAGAACATGACGGGTAGCTTCGCTTCCCTCCGATGAATGTTTTGCTAGGCGAGGCATCGACGCATCCACGAATTTGCACCAGCTGGGAGAGAAGGCATAGAAATAGACAAATTGCGGTACACAGGTTACAAAGACTATCAAAATCACATTCCCGCCGCGAGCATGATGCCATAACCGAGAGTCACAATGACAACATATGCGAGCGCCGTGGCGGGGATACCGCGGGTGATGAAGTGCCGGACCTGGAGATATCGTTGTCCAGTTTGTGGATCCTCCATCATAATCGCAGCTAGTGGGGTCAAGTCAGCATGATGGACTTTTCCAAGAGAGATGTTTTGGACGTGACAACTTACTCATGTTGGGGAATCCACTCGTTGGCAGACCCATTGCAGCGGAAGCCATCAGCACCGAGGACATAACGAGGAGGTTCGGGTGGGGATCGGCCATGCTAGCGCCGACCTCCCGCACCAGCGGTAACACGATCAATGCGGCCACAGTGTGGCTGATGAATGTAGCGACGACAGCGATAAGACCGGCGAAAATGCAAGTGACACCATAGAGCGACACGCCAGCGACGCCTTCCGTTATGGATAAGGCGATGGTCTTGAGCAGACCAGAACTGTTGACCGCCTTGCCCAGTGCGAGACCGCCAGCGGCCAAGATGATGATGGTCCAGAGGAAGTTATTGAAATCTTCCTTGGTCAAAATACCGGTGCCGAAGAACAGGACGATGGGAATGATGGCGATAACGCCCATGTCGCCGAAGACGCCCTCGAGCTGGTGGCTGACGCACCACAGCCCGATCGTGATGAGTGTGGTGATGCAGATGAACCATTGGTAGCCGGTGAACTTTTCTTTGATCTGTCGAATCGGGACGATGACGGTGTTTTTGCCGGGCTGGAACGTGACCACGAGAAGCAGCCAAACGAGTATGAGACTGACAATGCACACTGGAAGGGCGATGAAGAACCATGTCCCCCAGCCAGGTTGCGGCTCCATATTCTGTAGGGCGATAAGGTTCTGAGGAGATGCGATGGGCGATGCTGCGCCACCGATGTTGGACGCGAGCGCAATTCCCAGAAGAAGAGCTTTAGCCATGTTACTGTCAGATGGCAAGTTGCGTAAAATGGGCTGTCATTATCATCGCAGTGGTCAGCTTAAGTATCCTCGCGATGAACATTTCTACAGCTCCTAGAGCTCGTCCCGTGTTTCTTACCTGGATAATGCTGAAGCACAGCACAGGCGCAGCGACATTGCTGATCCACATGCTAGCAAAGGTTGCTACCGCCATGCTGGTAAAAAGTACGGTGCTGGGTTTAGTACCGGCTTTCGACAGGACGAATGTGGCCATCATCTTCGCGATATTATATTTGCTCAGCGCGGCAGCGATTGTGAAACCGCCGAGTAGCAGCATAATGACCGGAGTCCACATCGACGCGAAGACGTATCCTGCAGCTTCTTTGCTTGTGAGTCGCCGGTTTGGCTTGGCATCCTCTCGGACGATCTGTAAAACGATGCAGAAGAACGGCACAAGTAATGAAGTGACAAACAAGGGGATTGCCTGTCATACTGAAATTAGTGGCAGCTCGGACATCCCATTACTCGAACGTTGAAAGCATACCTCGGTGGCCCATAGCAGACTGACAAAGACGACAAGCGCCAGACAGTTCTGCTGCTCTGGACGTTCCATGGTGGGCACGATCAAGAGGGTCACGAAAGTGGCGATGATGGCGGACAGCATCCAGAACGAGCTTGAGAACAGGAATTTGGGCAGACGGTATTTGCCAATCGGGAGGCTCACGATCCTACTCGTGCCTTCCTCCGCATCGCCTTGCAGACGAGCCTTCTTCGGATCGGTCTCTCGGCCCAGCATGGTGTTGCGTAGACCAAGGTTGGCGGCCTGGGCTTTTCGTTCAATGCCAATCATCTCACGCCAGACCGTATTTCGTTCCCAGACAACGTGTTCTCGGAGGTGCAGACGGAGCTCCTGGCGAGCGGTATCGACATCGCCCTTGGTGACGATGCTCGCATAGGCTTGTTCTACACGTCGGAGGTGGTCATCTAGTGCCGCGAAGGTCGATGGCTGGAAGGGTTGTGCTGGTTTGACCTTTTCTTGCACGTATGCTGATTTGAGCTTGCGATCTAGAATCTTGTCGTACTTCTTGAGGACCTTGGAGAAACCAGTCTCGTTGAGCTGGATGAAGGATCGAAGTTCGCAGATGTTGACGTAGAGTCCGATAAGGCGCTTCTTCAGGGTGATTCCCTCGTCGTAGAGGGCTTGGAACGTCTCATCAGCATATTCACTAAACACACCGGATGCCTTCAAGCCTCGTTGTGATTCCGTAAGATTAGCCTGCTCGTTAGATGACTGCTCCCTAACTGGCAAACTCCCGCGCCGGCTGCCTCGTCGTCCCAAGCTGGAAGTGCTTCGAGTAAGTGGTCCTTGCTCATTGTCGTCCTCGTCGCTTTCATCGTCATACTCTTCTTCCTCTCTGGCGGGCCCGGCTTTTCCACTCCCAAGCGTCGAGGGCCGCTTTCGCTTGTCAGGGTTGAAGAAGCTGCGGATTTTACTTTCCCGCCGAGCAGTTGCCCATAGTCTTTGTCTTTGTAGCCCTTCGCCATCTTCGTCTTCCTCGCCAACAGCGTATTCGGCTTCGTACTCTGCGACCTCTTGTAAAGTATCCTCGACCTCACCCAGGATTTCCAACTCTTTGAGGCGATAGAATGAACAGATCTTGTCTAGTTCATCGTTAAGCTTCCGGGTGAAAAGCTTGTCCGGATCATCTATGCTGTCATGAGAGAGCAGGGGCGAGTGCTCAGGGTCCGTGGTATTTGCTTGGCCACTTCGGTTGATTTGTTGCTCGAGCTGGTAGATGGCCTTTTTCAAGTTTGAGTACGAGATATAATGGGAAGACCATTCGGGCACCGCATTGAACTGAATGCTGTGTGAGAACTTCATGTCTGCTTCGAGAAGCTCACAGGCCTTGTAGCGGCGTCGGATTTCACGTCGTGACGCTGCCTGTAGTCGAGTCCTGGGAAGTAGTGCAGGAGGAGGAAGAACGTCAAGTTCGTGGTAATGTGTGGTCACGGGGGATGTATTGAATCGCTTAGTGCGAGACCATTTTTTGAGGTCCAGCGTGGGCTCTGGTGAAGCCTGTGAGGCACTAAGTCAAATCGTGGGATGTCGTGCACAATTGATGGCGGCTCAGGCGAGGTGTCTCGAGCCGGCTGGAACAGCGGCTTCAAAGCGGTCGCGGTGAGATGACTCGATGCTGTAGTAATGGTGTGTTCCGAACCGACAGGAATTGCAGAAGCGGGCATCGAGGTTCTGATCGTCGGTGATTCGTCGCCGTACCGATTGATTCACGTCTAAACTTGGATCATCGGAAGAATGGGAAAGCGCTTGTTTGGCTGCAGCAATCCCACCTGAGTGTTGCGCTAGGGAGTGCGTACAGATGCACGTAGTCACGACAGTCGCACAGCCCGAGCCCTGGAGCCCTTCACAAGCAGCCGAGAAACCACATGCTGCGATCGGTGGTAGGGCTCAGCGCCAGACTAATTCAGACGGGCCGCCGCGTTGCCAACCAAACGCGTGGGCAGGCATTGATGATGCGTTTGCTGGATCTAGGTATCGCATTCTTGTCCCCTACCATCAAACGCACTCGGAACGATTGCAGTTTGTCATGACACGACTGGTGCAATTCAGCTTCACCTTCTGGTAGTACTGCCACCCATGCACACATCAGTAGCGGAAACCAGGGTGGGCCTTAGGTATTCAGGTGCTCAAGTGGGTCTTATTGGCTTATGTAGGTGTGCTCATGTGACTGCGGAGCTCACCGATGTTTGTATCAAAGGGCTTGGTACTCGGTTGGGATGGCTTGTCACACAATCCGTGATTGGAGGCGCCAGTTTATGTCGGTGAGACATTCTATGAAGCCAGTGACAGTGAAAGACGAATCACTTCCCTATCTGAGAGCGAACTCGACCGCATTTTGTCTCCGCGCTCTCGGCAATGGACCACCCTGATGCTGCTCGAAAGTATCACGTCACTGCAGATGACGCTCGAGCATATGTGGAAGGCGTTCTGTGTGCGAACGGCGTGTCAGCGGAAGATGCAGTGATTGTCGCGCGATGTCTCGTGGCAGCGGATCTTCGAGGCATAGACACACATGGCATCAACCGAATCCCATCATACGTCGCGCGTATACGACAAGGCGTGTTGGACCCAAAAGCGAAGCCGAGCCTGCACGAAGTGACGCCTGTCGTTGCACAAGTGGACGCCCATAATGCATTTGGCTTTGTTGCTGCACATATTGGAATGGCCAAAGCTATAGAAATGGCCAAAATCTATGGTATTGGCATGGTGAGTGTAAAGCACAGCAATCACTTCGGTATGTCTGCATGGCTTGTTCAACAAGCTCTCGACGCAGATATGATGAGCCTAGTATTCACAAACAGTTCGCCTGCCTTGCCGGCGTGGGGAGGAAAGACTAAACTTATGGGAGTAAGTCCCATTGCTTGCGGAGCACCTGCTGGGAGCGGAAAACCATTCATCTTGGATATGGCTCCCTCGGTTGCGGCGCGAGGAAAAATATACAAAGCACAGCGACGGGGTGAGAAAATACCAAAGGACTGGGCTCTAGACAAGGATGGTCGCCAAACTGAAGACCCTGCTGCGGCACTGGAGGGGACCATGCTGCCCATGGGAGGCCCGAAAGGTTCTGCGCTTGCGATTATGATGGACGTCTTCTCTGGAGTTTTGTCTGGCAGCGCATTTGCCGGTGGAGTCACTAACCCGTACGACCCCAGCAGCGCTGCAGATGTTGGACATTTCTTACTTGCCGTCAAACCGGACCTTTTCATCAGCTTGGAAGACTTTCGTCAACGCATGGGCTATCTCTATCAACGAGTCGTCGAGTCCGATAAGATGGAGGGCGTAGAACGGATCTATTTTCCCGGTGAGATCGAACAGCTCGCTGAAGAGAAGCGGATCAAGAGTGGGATACCCTTGGTGAAAGCTGAAATTGATGCTTTGAACAAGGAAGCAGACATCGTGGGATCATCTCAGCTCAAGGTGAGAGAACAATGTGGAGGTTAATTCGGAACTGTTGAATGTAAACGAACAACCATCTAAAGATGCAGTCCTTTGTGAATCCCATATTCCACAATTCCACAACTACGACCAATTGTCCTCGAAGGTTCTTTGCATACTGGAGCGTCGTGCTGTATACCAAGGTAGCGATCGTAGTGGGAACTCAATCTACCCTGCGGTACCTGAACGCTGCCATTCATCCGGCCCAATGTGCTCGAAATGTGGGGAAAGCTGTATGCCGTGGTGATGGCCGGGGAGCTTCTGATGACGACGTTGTCGCAACTTGCTCATGTGCATCAGTGCGTTCTATTCGCCAATTGTTGAGCTCCTTCGTGCGACATCAAGATACACTTTCATCGATAAGTGGACCTTCAAGCGCTCCACTTTCGTTCCCCATCATCTGAAAACTTCTACCGAACGAAAGACAACAGCAATATTTCAACTGCCATCCATTATGTCTGGTCCGGCGGCATTCAAACTTGTGCGCAGTGCTGCCAGCAATGTTGCGCGGTCAACTAAGCATATCACACCCCGAACTATCTACCGACCGATGCGACTTGCTCCACGCTTTGGCCTGCAGAATTCACAATCACGATGCTTCTCAGTCACAGGCTTCGCGCGTGCTGGCCTGATGCCAGAAACGGATGAGCCGCAGCCACCCAAGGAAGTGGCATCAGAGCCCATTCCCGCCCAAGCCACGGAAGTAACAGACGACGAATATCACGAACTTTCAGAAGACTACCTGAATGCTGTCTATGAAAAGGCGGAGGAGCTCGCGGAGTCGCGGGAGGATGTCGAAGTGGATTACAGCGTAAGTCATGGTGCCTGAATGCCCCGGCATCATCAATTCTGACCTAGATCGCGTCATAGGCCGGTGTGCTCACCATCAGCTGCCCGCCAAATGGAACCTATGTCATCAACAAACAACCGCCGAACAAACAAATATGGCTGTCATCGCCAGTCTCCGGCCCAAAGCGGTACGACTACGTGCTTGAAGGAGAGGGCCAAAATGAGAAGGAAGGCGGAGGCACGGGCGAGTGGATTTATCTTCGCGACGGGACTAACATGACGGAATTGCTGACAAAAGAGCTGGGACTGGTAATCGTCTCGCACGAGGCGGAAATGAAGCAAAGTGTGGACCCGAAGGAATGAGTGATTTAAAGAACATTGGGCTGAGAAGATGATGATAGTTCTGACTGCTCGGGAGGCTGAGCTACATGTCCAAAGAGACATGCTTCATGCTTTGTATTGCTAGTTTGTTGCGAAATCCTATCAATGACAATGAAAATGGTCAGAGACATGAGTGACGAATCAAGCAATTGCAGCGACACTTTTGTCGTGCCGGGGACGAGCTCTAGCTTATCAGAGAACGCCCGCCTGTCCAGCACATGGCTGAAACAATCCTTGGATAATGAATTGCGAACCCGATCGCGCTGCGTGGCATGCGCTCGCAAGCCTTCGCAAGAGCACCAAGTACCCGCTGATGGCGACTGGCGGCAACGTGCGCCTTACCAACCATCAATTCAAAACTGAAACGACTTGAGCCCATACTCCCACCTTCATGCTCATGCGGCAGCCGGAATCTGCTGCGCTGGAGCGCCACTGCCCATCTGCTCTCCGCCTTCGGGCTTGGGAAGTTCGTCCACTTCGAATATCACGCGGATCTGGAGGCTACAACTCGGGCAGATGGCAATCTCTTCGCCGTCGCGCAAATCGTCGATGGCGATCTGGAAACGATCGCCACAGGGACATGGGTAGTGGTAGATCTGGAGGACAGGATCGAAGACCATGTCCTGCAATGTTTCGTGAGTACAAGCCTTGGTGACCAGTTGACGAGTGGGAAAGTAGTCGTACCTCGATCTCTATCTCATCGTAGATATTGTCCGCCATTGTGCAAGTACGCGGGTCAATATCTTCATCGCTCGCCGTCTGGGTTGATGGTGGCGGGCCTTCGCATCACAATCAAGGGTCTACATAATTTTTCCAATTCGAGACTGAACAGCATGAGTCAGCCGCTCGTCTCGTGGCGGGCAATCTCACGCGAGTCCATGTGGGGTTTTAAGCGCGCTACGGTCTGACGTCCGAGGAAGCAACCTTGGAAGGCTTCTTCGATGCTGCCACTCTGCATTGGTGGAGAACCACGCGCGACAATTCTGACCACGTTGTCTAGACAAAGGCAGGCACATCATTCGTGGGCATTCTTCGCGATCACGCTGCAAAGTTGACATCTGCTCTGCAAGTGGACAACGGAACTTGGAGACGAATCTTAGTACCTGTAGCTTTATCTCTCACTCGCCACTCGGATGAGCAATCACGCCATATCCACCGATTCCATCGCGCGCTCTGTCGTTGGCTCATCCGCTTCATGAATGTAACATGAGAGCGCCCAGTCGGAGCATACGTGCCGGGTTATCAAGGCTGACGTCTTCTTCATGCCGTCATGGGCGTTGCATCCTGCTCACACTGGTCGAGATATTAGCATTTGGCCCGAGTTTCATTGGGTAAATACAAGCGCGATTAGCGGCGTGGTGAACTATGTGTCAGACCTGCAGTCATACAGGCATGTTACCATACACGCGAACGTGTGTTGCCATTCGTTGGCAAATCTACGGCTTTATGGGATCAGTATATTGACCAGGGTGATGGTGCAATCGTTCTGATGGCTAGCCTGCATAAAGCATCACTTCCACATTAAATGTTTTAATGTTTCGTATCAAAGTTTGCTCCTCTTCGTCTCAAGGGCGCTCATTTCATCCAACACACACCTAGTCCAAGACATTGTCCAACACAGCAAACATGGCTCCAGCTTTGTTAGTTTCTGAGCCTCAAACAAATGCAGAGCAGGAATGGCAAAAAGACAAGCTGCAATCCGGCGATTTCAAAGAAGCATTTCAACAAGGCGCATCAACAACTGATTACGAGGTCGAATTGAAAGGAACTGGTCGATTTGCGCCTGCCAAATACCCTCACTATCTACCTTATTGGGACGCAACCATCAAGTACCCTCCGCTCGAGCCTTTCGAACACACCGAGCACGGTCTTGATGCGGACCCGTCCTTCTCAAACCTCCTCTCTGGAGGACAATTCAAGGATCTCACCGGGAATATCGGCGCCGAGGTCACTGGAATTCAGCTAAGCAAGTTGAGCAACGCTGGAAAGGACGAGCTTGCTCGTTTTGTTGCCGAGAAGAAAGTCGTCGCTTTCCGCGCCCAAGACTTTGCAGACTTGCCGATCCAGGAGGCGTTGGACTTCGCCGAGTATTACGGTCCCAGCCATATACACCCGGCGTCTGGTGCACCGAAGGGCTTTCCTGGAGTGCATCTAGTCCATCGATCAGCTTCCGACACGACTGTCTACGACTTCTTCCAAGAACGCACAAACAGTGTCACTTGGCATTCAGATGTGTCCTACGAGATCCAACCGCCGGGCACCACCTTCTTATATGTGCTTGATGGGCCGCTAGCAGGCGGTGATACGCTCTTCGCAAACTTGGCTGTGAGTAAAATCCTTCTGGAATCACAACTTACATACTGATTGTCCTCAGGTCGCATACCAAAGACTCAGCCCTGCGTTCCGAGAGCGATTGCACGGTCTACAAGCCGTCCACTCTGGGCACGAACAGGCCGAAGCTGCTCTCGCACGCGGCTCGATCGTCCGTAGAGCTCCCGTCAGCAATGTCCATCCTCTCGTTCGAACACACCCAATCACAGGCGAGAAGGCTCTATATGTCAACCCGCAGTTCACTCGAAGAATTGTGGGATTTAAGAAGGAGGAGAGTGACTATCTGCTCAAGTTCTTGTACGATCATATCGCCCTTGGAGCAGATTTCCACGCTCGCGTGAAGTGGGAGCCTGGCACCGTGGTGGTCTGGGACAACCGCGTCACGAGCCACACTGCGATTTTGGATTGGAAGGACGGTTATCGACGACATCTGGCTCGACTGACGCCGCGTGCGGAGAAGCCGTACGAGACACCATTCGAAGGTGCAAAGTAGATCCAAAGTACTGTCGCTGGTAGAACATTGCTTGATGTACACGATAATTCTGTTCGACGTTGGCACCCCTTGTGCGGTGTGTTGTTCAGTTCAAATGTTTCACCCCGCGTTGATTGCGACTGTACATCGAGGTGTGCGCAGCGCTGCAAAACTAACGGAAGATTGCCTCTAGCTGCGAATACTAGCAAGCATCTGATAGTATGGAAACCTTCATCATTCGCAGATATGGTTTATCAAGTAGTAAGTCATGGTTAATATGCGGGTTGGGGTGAGCCGATGTTGGGCTAGGGTTTGGGTAACGAGAAGAGGTGACGTACTGAGAGGTCACGGGAAGGAACAGAGCTCCACTACAAGCTAAGCAGCGGCGAAGCCAACCTCCAGCTATTCTGACACTACTGGTACTGTATGCCCGGAACCTAAGCAGTATATCCGACTTCACGATCTGCTCGTCGTGAATCGAACCTAGCGACCACACCATAAATCGGACTAACCGGTCGCAACAATCACAGCGAATAGCCTGACTACAGTCATCGCGAATTCTCGAGAACAGAACACCGCCGCAATGGCTAAAGGCGAAGATGTTGATCCCAGGATGATGTCCGTCACTCCGCGCATACGATACAACACCATTGGTGGTGTCAATGGACCTTTGGTTATCCTAGAAAATGTAGGTCGTGGGCACGACACCTGGCTATCCACGATAACAAGATACTGAGCTTCTTCTGCAAAACAGGTCAAGTTCCCACGTTTCAACGAGATTGTGTCCTTGACGCTTCCAGATGGCACTGAGCGATCTGGTCAGGTCTTGGAAGCAAGAGGTTGGTTGAGAATAGTCAGAAGTATACATGGCGCTTGGCTGACCATTGTCCGAAGGAAACCGTGCCGTGGTCCAAGTCTTCGAGGGAACATCTGGCATTGATGTGAAGAAGGTGAGCAAGAGATGGGATACATGACACTTTGAAGGAATGGCGCTGAGATAACCCAACAGACCAAAGTGGAGTTCACTGGACACTCGCTCAAACTCGGCGTGTCGGAAGACATGCTCGGTCGAATCTTTGACGGCTCCGGACGTGCCATTGACAAGGGACCGAAAGTGCTAGCAGAGGACTACATCGACATCAACGGATCTCCCATCAACCCATACGCTCGAGTGTACCCCGAAGAGATGATCTCGACCGGTATCTCAGCCATTGACACCATGAACTCCATCGCTCGTGGTCAAAAGATTCCTATTTTCTCTGCTGCCGGTCTCCCTCACAATGAAATCGCCGCCCAAATTTGCCGACAGGCAGGTCTTGTCAAGCCGACCAAGGGTATTCACGACGACCACGAGGAGAACTTCTCAATCGTCTTCGGTGCCATGGGTGTCAATTTGGAGACGAGCCGCTTCTTCACCAAGGACTTTGAGGAGAACGGCAGCATGGAGCGTACCACACTCTTCCTCAACCTTGCAAATGACCCGACTATCGAGCGTATCATTACGCCTCGTCTTGCATTGACGACGGCAGAATACTACGCCTACCAGCTGGAGAAGCACGTCTTGGTTATTTTGACTGACTTGTCATCGTACTGTGACGCTCTCCGTGAGGTGTCTGCCGCTCGTGAAGAAGTGCCAGGTCGACGTGGTTACCCGGGTTACATGTACACTGACTTGTCGACCATTTACGAACGTGCTGGACGTGTCGCCGGCCGAAACGGATCTATCACGCAGATCCCCATTTTGACCATGCCTAACGATGGTACGCAATGCCCATTAGACTTTTACTACACTTTGCACAATCGCTGACAAGTGCGTTCACATAGATATCACCCACCCTATTCCCGATCTTACTGGCTACATCACCGAAGGACAGATCTTCGTCGACCGTGCTCTCCACAACAAGGGTGTCTACCCACCAATCAACGTGCTTCCCTCCCTCTCTCGTCTCATGAAGTCCGCTATTGGCGAAGGTCACACTCGCAAGGACCACGGTGACGTGTCCAACCAGCTGTACGCCAAATACGCCATTGGTCGTGATGCCGCGAGCATGAAGGCCGTCGTCGGTGAGGAGGCACTGAGCAGCGAAGACAAGCTCTCATTGGAGTTCCTCGAGAAGTTCGAGAAGACGTACATTTCGCAAGGGCCTTACGAGAAGCGTACCATCTTCGACGGTCTTGACCTGGCCTGGGAGCTGCTCCGCATTTACCCCAAGGAGCTGCTCAACCGAATTCCCAAGAAGATCTTGGATGAGTTCTACCAGAGACAGCCGAAGAAGTCGACACGGGATAACGATGGAGAGGACGAAGACAAGAAGAAGAAGCAACAGCAGGAGTCGGAGAACTTGATCGACGCGTAGTGGGTAATCATAGACATTTAGTGAATGAGTGAATCGATAAATGGAATTGCATTTGTAGCACTGACATGGTTGGAATGATAATAAGTGAACGAGGATGACAAACTCAATCATGCCGCATATATGATGGAATCTGTAGGCTTGAGCTTCGTCACCTGGAGGTTGTATGTGTACCGTACTCAGCGACTATTGTGCTGTGGTTGCGCAGTGCCGCACATGAATTTTGACCTGTTGTCTCCTGACGTGGAGAGCCAAAGAAATACGCTCTTATGCATGAATCGTGCACATAGTGCACGATGCCACCCGGGCTGTCCGCCCTCCGTGCTGCCTAGAGCACCACGCAGGACCTCGCTTTGCGTCCCGCCGTTATGCAGGAGATGGGCAGACGCACGAACACTCTTCGTCTCCAGTACAAAGAGTATGTTACAATGTTTAACGTGCTGTATGTATAGTCATACCCATTGTATCTACTACTTACTTACCTACCTACCCAGGCAGTAGGCATGTGTCTATACAAAGAGGGAACCGCATGACAGAGGAGTGCTCGCGCCGCCCACTCTCTGCCTGGTGTTGGCTGATCCAATTTCATCATCGTTGATCGGCCATTGTCCTAGCACACTCGGCCACAGGTACAGTACTGTATACCACCTGCCCATGCCCACATCAACATCCACACGCACGTGTTCCCGCACCCTCACCGAAATCATCATACATTCTCCATAGACATGCACACATCATATACAGTATATAGCTCGTAGACGCGTCTGAAGGCGACAGTCAGCAAATCGTGCGCAAAGAAGAGCGGGCTGTTTCCTTCTCCTTTCCCCTCCTGGCCACCCATTCGTCGACCAAAGCCCCCAAAGCCCTAGAATCGTCACCCATCTGGCACTATACACACGCCGGCTCCCTCACTCTCCCTCCTCACTCGTCAACACTGCTACAGAAGAGGGAGAGCTCCAGGTAAAATTGGTGGAAATATTAGCCGCGAGCTGGCCTTCATTTTGGCTCCCATTTACGCCGTCGCTCCAAACGACGAACTCAATCGTCCTGGCCCAAACCTGCCGCCCGCGCGATCATGTCGGCCACGGCGCAATCCAATACCCTGCCTCGCTCTTCCTCATCAACACGACGTCCACCTTCTTCCGCGTACGAGTACAACACCTCACCCGCCAATCCCACCAACATCGCCGCAACCGTTGACAATCGCGACCGGCCTCACCGCGCGCACTCGGTTCTCCATCGCAACGCGCCGCCATCCTCTCCTCGCCGTTCCATGTCCGCTTCACGGGCTCCGGCATCTGCCCACCACAGCCGAAGCCCTTCGGCCAATCTTGAAAAGGTCGCGCGACAGGATTTCGAGCAGACAAACCTCCCCGGCCAACAGTCCGCCAGTCCACGTCGGAGCGAGTCGCAGGATCCTTCGGCAGGCAACACCCCAGCACATCTTTCCCGCAGTGAATCAACCCGGCAATCCTCGGGGCACGGCCGGACACAATCTCGTTACAAAGACCAGACTACCCCGGCCTCGACCTCGGGTGGTGGATCCAACTCGAATCACAGTCATCATGCCTCCGAGTCGCGTGCGGCTGCGCCGCCGACTCAACTTCGCCGGCGGACCACCATCGATGCTCAGACGGGCCATTGGGAGCTCGGCAAAACCATCGGCGCGGGCAGCATGGGCAAGGTGAAGCTTGCTCGGAACAAAGCGACGGGAGAGCAGGTCGCGGTGAAGATCGTGCCGCGACAAAGCACAGAAGGCGAGCACCGGACGCAGGCCGACCGGGACCGCGCCGACCGCAGCAAGGAAGTAAGGACTGCGCGGGAGGCCGCCATTGTGACGCTGGTTGATCACCCGTACATTTGCGGTATGCGGGATGTGGTACGCACCGGCTACCACTGGTACATGCTCTTTGAATACGTCAACGGTGGTCAAATGTTGGACTACATCATCAGTCACGGACGACTAAAGGAGAAGCAGGCGCGGAAATTCGGCCGGCAGATTGCGAGCGCGCTTGACTACTGCCATCGCAACAGCATTGTCCATCGTGATCTCAAGATTGAAAATATCCTGATCAGCAATAATGGTGACATCAAGATCATTGATTTTGGCCTATCGAACTTGTTCAGCCCGCGCGATCATCTCAAGACGTTTTGTGGCAGCTTATATTTCGCTGCGCCGGAACTGTTGCAAGCGAAAGCTTATACAGGGCCCGAGGTGGATGTATGGAGTTTTGGCATCGTGCTCTACGTCCTGGTCTGTGGCAAGGTTCCGTTTGATGACCAGAGCATGCCGCAGCTCCACGCAAAAATCAAGAAAGGTGTTGTAGAATACCCGCCGTGGCTCACTCCTGGTACGTCTGTGTCTGCCTGCACGATCCAGCATCGTCTCCAGAGGACTTCGTCTTGCTGCAATGTGAAACCGTCACTGACTTCCGTTCTCTAGAATGCCGCGGCTTGATCGCGCGTATGCTCATGACCAATCCAAGCGAGAGAGCGACAATGCACGAAATCATGAATCATCCGTGGATGACAAAAGGCTTCAGCGGTCCCCCCGAGAATCATCTTCCAGAACGGAAACCAGTTCAACTTCCACTGGACCCGGAGGTGGTTGCCAAAATGACGGGATTCGATTTCGGCAACTCAAAGTACATCACCGAGCAATTGACAGCCGTAATCGAGTCCGAGGATTATCAGCGTGCAGTTCGTCTGATGGAGAAGCGAATGAGTCAACCGAACCCAGAATCAGAGCAGAAGCGGGGAGTCTTTGGTTTTTACAAACGCCGCGGATCTACCACGAGCAAAGACACACTCAACACGCCTTCGGTGGAGGCCATTCAGTCTGGCACTGATCCGATAAATGCCTACTCGCCTTTCCTTTCTGTCTACTACCTAGCTCGCGAGAAAATCGAGCGCGAGGCTCGTGAGAAGAACCCGGGCGCGTTAGCGCTGCCGCAGTCGCCAGACGAGAAGCCGCTGCAAATTCCCAGTGTTACAACACCGCCGGTCGCGCATACCAATAGTCAGACCTATGAAATGGCTGGAGAAAAGCCGACCGGTGGTCGCTCACGACCGCGGGCTCGTACACACGGCGAGGACGAAATCGCTGATGGAATCCAGAACATTGACGTCAATGCTGCCCCTTCACCACTCAACGCTAACCCGACAATCATCGAGCCGTCCGCTGAGCAGCAGAGTAAGGGTCACAGCCGCAAGGAAAGTACTGCTGCGGGAATTCTCAGACGGTTTAGCAAGCGCAGCAGCGTGGGTGACCGGCTCAGCCATCCCCCAGCTGCACTGGCCGCCTACAGCAAGGATTCAAATTCTGAATCTCCACGTAAAAGTATTGGCCTACTGCGAACCCGTGATAATAGTCAGAATCGAGAATCTACGGGCACTGCAGCGGGCGACGCATCTTTCGCCAAACAGGCTGGCCTACTCTCACCGCCCGCGGGTGACGACACACCTCCTGGTTCGTCCGCTGTGGAGCCACAGCAAGCACAAGTCAAACGTCATGGTTTGGGCCGTTCGGTCAGCGTCAATTCTAGTGATATTCGACGCCGTTTATCGAGACGTGGTGCATCTGAAGGTTCTGCTGAGCAACAACAACAGCAGCGGATCAATCAACAAGCACGTCCTCAACCATCATCCTCCTTGGAGCCTAGCGGCCAGGATATCGCCTCGGATGCCGAGCGTTCATCTTCACGACCCCATACAACCATTGGAATGGCGAGTCGTGCGCGATCCATGGGCCACGGCTCCAGCAATCAACATTCACGCAAGGAAAGCCTGCCATCCTCGGCGATGCTACGATCCCAGCAGGGTCGGCCTACTAGCATGATCTCTTCCTCCAAGAGGGAATCCTCTCAGTTCCCTACTTCGACGCTTCCACGGCCACAGGATGTTCGCGAGGAGACCGATCAGGAGATCGAGGAGGAGGAGATCGGCAGCACTCACGACCGTCGTGGAAGCCGAACTCGCCAATCCCACAAAACGGGTGATGCAGACGACTACGACGAAGACGCGCCGTCTATGAAGCCTGTATATCTCAAGGGCCTCTTCAGCTCGAGTACCACCACGTCCCGTCCTTTGCCGGTCATCCGTGCAGACATTATCCGGGTCCTGCGCGAGCTGGATGTCGAATTCCGCGAGATCCGTGGCGGATTCTCCTGCCGGCACTGGCCCAGTATCGTTGTGGGCAATAACAGCCCGGACGAGAAGTCTGTTAATGCCACCGCTGGTGAGGATGGAGCCACGCCCCGTTCGCCTCCACAAAGTCCTCCTCACCAGGCAGCCTCCATCGACGGCAGCACCGGGGGCGGCAGTACCGGCCACCGCCGAAAAATCTCATTTGCTGGCTTCCGCGCCAGCACCAGCGCTGACCGTCCTCCCCCGAGCAACACATCCGCCTCCCAACCGCCCAACGACGACAACATCTACTCCGGCCCCAGTGACGTCGACTATTCCGAAGACGAGACGGGCCACCTCCCCTCCTCCACTCGCCCACAAGCCCAACAACCCTCGCGCACGAAACGCTACTCTCGCATCATCGGCGGCTCCTCAACGCCCGTGCCCCGAGACGCCTCTGCCTCCGCGGGCGGCAGCAATGCTATGCATGCGGTTGGCGAGACCAGCACGCATGTCCACTCGGACCTCGGTGCTGCGATGACGGCGCTGCGGTTCGAAATCATCCTCGTCAAAGTTCCCTTGCTCCAACTCCACGGCATCCAGTTCAAGAAAGTCGATGGTGGGACGTGGCAGTACAAGGCCATGGCGCAGAGGATCCTGGGAGGGTTGAGGCTATGAGGATGAGGGTTCATTCTCCTGCACAGTATTGAGAAGAAGGGATGGAGAAGATCTGGAAGCGATGAAGTCTCGGGGGAGCGAGGAATCCCCTGCTCGGTTTCCTTGTTGTGCTGCACCATTAGAACGGGTTGATCTCGTTCCCTCCCTCCCTCTCTCTCTTTTGGAAGAAGCTTTTTTGATCTCGATTTCATTGTAGTATTACGTGTATGAGTGCGATGGGAGCGATGTGCGGAGAGAGACCGAAAGAGAGAATTTAGAAAGCAGAAAGCAGGAAGTAGAAAGCGTCCCTTCGTCTTTATGCGTAGCGAGTGATCTCGCCGGACCAAGACGCCCGACTATCCAATCAGGATTATTTCTTACTCATCATATTTCATTATTCATCGTAACTTTCCGTGCGACATGCTCTCTGTGTCATATGGCACTGTCGTCTCGATGTTCATTCAAGCTAAATCCAGTTTCCTCTCTAGATCCTCCCACCGTCCACTTCGCAGCGGGTCCAATTTCTTCAGCTCGGCCAACCACGTTCTCATCTCCTCCTTGATCGTCTTCTCCTTCAGCACTGCATCATCCTCATCCCCGCCCGCAACGAGACCGTTGAACCGGCGTCCGTTCTCCAGCAGCGCTTGATAGATATACTTACAATCCTCCGCGCCATCGAGCATCTCCCTCAAGTTCTCCCCCTCCGCCTCGAGGTACTTCCTTCGCGTAGTTTCATCTACATCGGCAGCGTCACCCAGAATCCCCGCAGGAGCTGCAGTGTGATCTTTCCCTGCTGCTGCTGCTGCGGGTGCGTGATCTACCGCCGTCATCAGGAATTGATGATACGTCCATAAACTCTGGTCATACGGATCGGTGTACAGCGCCCGCGTGAGCAGGGCGATCTCGGCGTCGTACGCCGCGATGCGGACGGCGGCAGAGGCGTTCTGTTCGGAGAGGAGACGCGGGAGCAGGCGGGAGCGGGCGTGCCAGGCGGAGAAGTTGCTGAGATTGCTGGAGATCATCTTGGTGGTGTAGTCGAACTCGGACTGGGCGAGGCTGCTCGCGTTTGTGGAATGGGTGGGATCGAGGGCGGCGGTCGCTTCTTCGATCCGCTCGACGACGGTCCGCCGGTAGCCCCAGCCGTGGAAGTTTCGGCCGTCCAGCGCGAGCATCTTGCTGACGAGCGCGAGTTCGTGGCGCCAGAGATCCAGGGCGGTAGCGGAGGGCAGGTGGGTGGTGGCGGTGGCGAGGAGCCAGGATCGATGGTTCCAGATCCAGTAGCATTTTGGGAATTGCTTGAGGAGGGGGAGGAGGAAGTGGAGATCTTCGCGGATGAGGAGGGTGATTTCTTGTTGGGCCGGGGTGTGGTTTGCTTGGGAGGCGGCGGCGATGTCGGTCGCTTCGAGGTCGGAGCTTTGGGTAGAGGCTTCGTTATGGCGCAGGAGTTCTTTAGAGAAGACGTCCTGGAGGATCAAACGTCGGTGGTTCCATATGGTGTAGTATTCTGGGTTTCGCGTCAGGAGACGGGAGGTCAGTTGAAGAGTCTCGTTGGAATAGTCTTTTGCTCGGATCTATGATCGGAAAGAGTCAGTCAGTCGACCATGTGTGAGTTCGCCGCCTTGATTCTAATGAGCTCCTCGTCGTCGATAAGCCGTTTCACCAGATGAAGAGAAGACGTAGATGGGAAGCACCTTTTCTCGTTCTTCGCGCCCCAGCGCTTGATATTCGTCGACGAGTCGCTTTTCTTCTGCTCGTGCCTTTGCGCTCTTCTCAACGACCGTGCCTGGTGCAGCGCGTGGGACACCATGCTATCGTCGCAACTCACGAATGGAGTGGTTAGCCGTTAGAAATATGGACTGGATAATTCGTTATCGTGGATGGTTTGCGGTGCTTACACTGGCCATGATGGTCGCAAAAGTCTATGTATCCCAAGTCGACCAATACTCGAATGAAGTTACACTGTTAGTAATCGCAAGTTAACTCCTGTTCTTATGCGATGCCAATTTATGAATATCCAAATGTGTAAGAGGTGTTCTGAACAGGCAACCGCGATGAGAAACGGAACGGCGAAAAGCGAAGCTGCGTGACGCCCAGCGAGCTCATCTCGTCCCATCTCGTATTTTTCGAATTGCTTGACCTCGTCTACAACCTCCAACCTTGCTGTTCGGTCAGCATACAATCATGATGGCTAACTGATAGGTATACACAATTATTGTTATGACTGCCGCCTCAACTCCTACCTCGCAGGCCGTGACTGGATGGTAGCAGAGCTACCTCCGAGGTGTCGTGCGCGTGGAAGCTCTAGTCGATAGAACACTTGGCTTCAGGCAAGGATCTCGTTCGACAGTCTGCAAGCGACAACACCAACGTCGGCCGTTTCGCGGAATCATGACCGAAAGACGGCTCAGGCTGGAAGTGCCCGACCTTGTCGCCATCACTCCAGCCGGAAATGCGAGGACGGAATAGGACAGTCCACTTTCGCCGACGCGAAGTGATGCGTGGACAGAGCCGGAATGTAGCCAGAACGATACACCGTTGACCACACCTGCGTCGTCACCAGCCCGAGACTTGTCCGCTCTGGAGCCATCGTTCTCATCTTGGCACTTGTCACGCACACGATGTGACGGTGAGGTTGCAAGCAACGTTGAAGAGGATTCCGAGCTTGACGGCATCGCACATAGCCATAGCCATAGCCTGCTTGATGAAGATGAGATTGAAGATACTGAGCCTTGCATTGAATCATCATCGGATCACGAAAAAGCCCGCCCAGCAAAGCACTGGCATCTCGACTTGACTACCACGGTGGACGAAGGTCAGGAATGTCCCCTAGGAGAAGAAGCAAACTCTTATGATGATATCGCAACGCCTCCAACCAGAGCCAGCAAAGCCAAACGTGATCTTGGAGAGTTTCCTTTTCCAACTGCCGCAGGTACGACGAACGTGCCATCCTGGCTCGCCGCACAGCGATATCCGTCGCGATTACTTCCTCACCATGGTCGAAGTCTCACTCCACGGCGGCATCAGCTCATGACAAGTACGTTGAGCAGCCCAGATCGCTTCATCCCAAACAGACTGAAGTCGCCCACCAAAGAACAACTCTTCTCCAATCGTCACGACCATATGTCGCTTGTGAGAGACCCCTATAGCCCTGGACGCGTGCGACGAACGCAAGATCAGGATGATCCCTTCGGGTCTGAACGCGCCCGGACTACAGGGCACAGTGAACGATTCGTGACCATGCGACGGCCACTGACTGCGTCCCGTCCTCATGTAAATCAGGCTGGGCACGCTACTGTGGTTTCTGATACAACCACAAGAGCAGTCAGTGCTGGCGCAGTATGGAGTGTTGGCGGCACCATTGTTACCGAAGGCGTTGCAAGTACCTCCGACGGCCGCGGCGGACGAGTGACCAGTGGGACCAGCGCTCCTCACTATAATGCCGGGTTCCTTCAGCAGCAACAGTCATCTGGCGAAGAACGACTTCGTCATGGTCATCGCCTTGCTCACGCCATGGACATGCAACCAGATCGACCTATGCTAATACACGACAGCTCCTCCGTGTCTTGTCCCACAAGGTCCTCCGTGTATGAAGGGAAGAGTCGCGTGATTTGGAGAGACTCCGCGTAGCAGCGAGAAGACTGCTCCAAATCGCGTCCAACCAAGACTACAAAGCCGAAGAAAGTACCTATGACCCCGTTCCGGGTACTCGATGCGCCAGCACTGCGCGATGATTTCTACTGTTCGCTTTTGGCATACTCTTCTACGTTGCATTGTTTGGCTGTAGGTCTTGGCCCGCATGTGTACCTCTGGTCGGAAAAGCCTCGCAATGCTTCCGTAGGGTCGTCCGATAATTCTTCGCAACGGCAATTGCCAGATTCCCTGACTTCGCCTTTCGGGGCTCACGTCACCTCGCTTTCCTTCAGCTCTACAGTCGGAGACAGTGCCATACTCGCCATTGGTCGTGCAGATGGCCGAATTACCCTATGGAGTCCAAAAGATGCGATTCCACGATTCGACAGTGAGCAGCCAAGCCCAATCTCGTGCGTAAGCTTCAGGCCCACTCCAGTTCGGCGTCCCTCACAACGCGAGCCAGGCGAGATGGTAGCAACAGAAGAGCTTCTGGTAGGCGACGAGGCCGGTAATGTCTATTTCTATACCATCGAATGGCCGGATCAGCTGAAGCGTGATCTCTTCGACTGGCCAGGGAGCATGACACTGTTCCTGCGGATCGCCTCGCATTCACAGCAGATCTGTGGACTGGCGTGGAGCGCAAGCGGCGAATACTTCGCCACAGGAGGGAACGATAACTTGATTCACGTATTCCTGACCAAAAACGTGCATACCAAAGGCCCTCCTTCTAATTCCTCGCCCTCGAGCGATAAAAGCTCTACTACGCCTCTGCAAACCCATGACAACCACGCATCCTCCAACGACACTGCAACTTTGCCACCACACCGTCAACACCGCCCTTCGGTCTTCACCCTCCCCCCAGGCTCTCACCACCAGACCTTCACTCTTTTCGCTGCCGTCAAAGCGCTCTCCTTCGCGCCATGGAACCCACATCTTCTCGCCGCTGGCGGCGGCTCCAACGACCGTTGCATCCACTTCCTCCACGCCGCCTCCGGCGCCGCTCTCGCGACCATCGATTGTCACGCCCAAGTCACCGCCTTGGTTTGGAGCACCATGCGGCCCGAGATCGCCGCGACATTCGGCTTTGCGCAGCCCGATCATCCATTTCGCGTTGCGGTCTTCGCGTGGCCGAGCTGCGCGTGCCTCGTCCGCGTGCCGTGGTGGGGCGAAGAGAGGGCGCTCTGGGCGGTTGGCTATCCCGGCGGTCCCGCGGGCGGCGCTGATCGGAGGAGGCAAGCGGCGGCGACGAAGAAGGGCGGTGGAGCGTGGTCTGGAAGGAGCTCGAGGGAGGAGGAAGGATGTCTTGTGGTTGCGACGAGTGATGCTTCGATCAAATTCCACGAGGTCTGGACGGAGCGACCTCGCGGTGGTGCCGGGAGACGAGGTGAGGCGGGAAGTGAGGGTTTGTTGGGAGGAAGTCAGATCCTCGAGGGAGAATGTTCGGTGAGGTTGGCGCGGGAGGGCTGGATCCGATGAGGGAGTTGAGGGTCGTTGAGAATCCCTTGAATTTGAGGGTTGGAGAAGGGACTTGAGGGAGTGGTGTCGAGGAAAGTAAAGAGCCCACGGGTTTGTTGGTTTTTTTTGCCGCATATTATCCTACTGATGTCGCGTCACGGAAGATATCATCTCATATCTCCACATCCTCGACTTCCACCGCTATGTCTTCCTCAGCATGTTGCAATCCACTCCTACATAAAGAGCCAGCATCCAGGTCACGCCTATGAAATTCTGCCCTACAAAAGCCATGTCGTTCTTGTGAAGGGGTGTGGTTGATCTGGCCGCTTGTTGCGTCACGCAAACACAACTCCAACCTGACTTACAACATCATGATGATCGCACATGAGCTGATTGATTCAAAGTCATTTTCTACCTATCAAAGGTGTATCATTCTGTTGCTACTGCTACTGCTACTGCTATTGTTGGTATCATTGTTGTTGTCGTCGTCGTCATCACTTCGTTAATAAAAACCCGGGGTAGGTATGGGTACTCAAAAAGCCGGCCCAAAACTAATACTAAGATCTTAAGATAGAAGTTCCAAAACTCGTGGTCCCAGCCAAACGAGCGAAGACGGTCATCCCTGAAGATGAGTGATGTCATGAGAAAGGATCGTGGAGGGAAGGATCGTAATGTTGCTGCGCAGAGCAGTGTCTTTTTGCTCGACTGATCGGTGTGCGGGAAGACAGGTTTCCTATGTGTGTGTGTGTACGGAGAAATACCTTTCTGCCCTTCATGTGCTGTGATCAGCCGCCAAAAAACTTGAAACGAATGGATGGTTCGGCTGGGGTGGGTTTCCTGGTCATCATGGCTTGGACAAAATCAGAGGTGCTGCACGAGTAAAAGACAAAACTCTGCGGCCGTTTGTCAGGCTCGAGTTTTATCCCGTTCGCCGCGTTCCCGGTCCCATCCGCTCTCTTGGCAGGATGACGATGAGTAGCCGTTGCCATAGCCGTAGCCCGTTGAGCGGGATTGGCGGGTGTCTTGATATTCGCGCTCTTCGCGGCGGCTTCCATCGCGCACGTCAGATGAGGCGGAGGGATGGTAGCGCGAGCGACGGGAGTCTTGGTTTGATGATGAAGTTGGATCCATGCCTTCTGCCCTGGAGGCGCGTCGTACGTCAGGAGCAGTGGGTGGCGAGTACTGCCGCCTGCTGTAGGAGCCCTCCTCAGGTGGCACGTTGGTGGACTGAGTACGGCTTAGGCCGGGGGGTTTGGGCACGGATCGAGGACGACGAGCGTCAAAGGTCTCACCCTTGTAGCGAGGGTCAACGTTGTAGTCGTCTTCATAGCGACCGCGGCTACGATCTTGGTCATATCCCCGCTCACGGGGTGCTGCCGGGGCAGGATTCGAATCGTACTTGGCTCCGGAGCCGTCTGTGCGGCCGTGATAAGGTTTGCGCTGACGTTCGGCGACTATGACTGGTGGATAGGGCGAACCGCTATCCTCGTCTTCGCAATCATCCGCGACACCAGCGGCTCTGTCCCATGTTCTCGGTGCATCATATGTGCTGGTTCGTCTCATGTTTGCTGGTGGCATTCCAGGAGGTGGCGGCGGCATTGTTGCTGAAGCTCGTCGACCGAGAGGTATCAAGACGGGCTCATGGTCAAGACTGGAGATCAGTCGTTGTTCCGCTGTAACGCTAGCTCTGGAGGGAAGCAGACTTCGCGGGAGTTCCTTGGGAAAGCGTTCAGCCTTGTTGTCGGCATTGGAAAGAGGCATGAGGACCAGAGCACGACACAAGCGAGCACACTCTGTGTCAGGATGGGCGCGGATGAGAGTAGTCATGAACTTTGCAAAACCATGAGGTGTGAGACCGGGAATATTTGGAACCTCGTTGTTGGTAGATGATGAAACCGACGCAGAAGGTTGAATCAAATAGTACTGACAAAGCAGTTTTCGGTAAATATTTCCGATCGAAGCGAAGGAAAGGCTACCACCGAAGATTGTTCTCCAAGGATAGTGTTCCTCGGCCACGGCTGTCTCATTGAAGAAGCGGAGCATCTTCCTTGGACCGACGACGAGGCTGTCCTTCGGCTCGTAGTCATGGATGATATGATCGGCCAAGCCTCGTAGAAATTGACTGAGGCGCTGGGTAGGCTCACCATCAGGTTGAAACAATGGCTTCCAAATTTTCTCGAGTGTGGTAGGCTCTGGAAGGGAGGTCTCTTCCACGATAGATGTCCGCAGAGGGCGAGTACGATTGGCATTAGCTAGCGGACCGCCAGCTGGATCGAGACTATCCTTGCGAGCACCACCAGACTTGTGATCTTCTGCAGCGTCGGAACTACCACGCCGAGCGTCGGAATTCGCGCTTGGTCGATCATCTTTGCCGGCGTCAGTGGAAGTTCGAGATCGTCGAAGTCCCAAGTCGGCGTCCACTGCAGAAGGCTGGCGAGTATCTTTGCTTTCGCGACGACTCCCAGTGCTGTAGGTACTAAGAGGGTAGTTACCGTCATCAGAAGCACGATCGGGCGATGACGGTTCGTCATTGACACAAGGTGGCTTATAGTTGTTCGACTTTCCAAGTGACCCTGCATTTGATCTTGTCTCGGAGAGAACAGGTGATTGCTGGGTCAAGGACGTATTAATCGACGTCGGCACGTTGATTGCTTGTAGGGTCTTGAGGACTTGTGTGGTGACTTGTTCCGTCAATTGCTGAACGAGCTTTGGATCTAATTGATTGGTGCTTGGAGCTTCGTCGAATGCATTGCTGACGACATTGGCGATTGGTGTATCTTGATGTAAGACGGGCGATTGTCGTTGGCTCGTCCTTGGGCCGGCCGGCGACCGCGAGCTGCGTAACTTGATCCAACTATCATCCTTGTCCGATGACCGCGAATGGCTGCTCGATCGAGTCGATGAGCTTGAATCCGACTGATCGTCCGAGAATGATGGCTGTTTGGGAAGAGGAGGGCGCAAGGTGGGATCAGAGCGATGGACGTCCATGGCTGTTTGTGGTTCCGTCTGTTATTGATTGTTTGACAACGAGAGGGTAAAATACAGAGCTGGTTTTAAGTCCTTCTAAAGAGAAGAGCTTTTATTTCTGTAGTTGTGGGTTGTCGATCTTGTTCCATGAGTATGGAGCAATCTACGCCATGTCGTGTCATCAACACAGATCGGCCAAAATTCCAGTATATTGAAGGTCAATAAGAAAGGTCGAAGCCGTTTAGATGTATATGATAACAATTTCGATCGACAGAGATCGCGAGATGTACAATCTGAGGTGATACAAGCCGCGATGGGGTGTTGGTCGATAAGGAAACCTTGTTGTCTCGCCAAGCGCTTGAGGTGTGTTGTACAGTATTGTCTGGCGCCGGAGTGGATGCCGCGCCTGATGAGGCAGTCTTCTGTAAAGGCGAAACAAAACGGCAGGACAGCAGAATATCTTCTGCGATACTTTGGCTGTATTATGTCGAATTTGGCTTTGCTCTCAAATTTGTTCTGTTGGCGACGAACAGAAAATGTATCTGTGTATTGTGGATGATGGTGGTGTCGTTGGTGGTGGGGAGGCCCAACCGGTCAGTTGAAACGTGTGACGGGATCGACAACTGTCAGCGACGTCATGCCCCTTTGGCCATCGACTCCGCCCTCGACAACACTTCCAAGCGAGTCTAGATCAGACGCCATGTATCGAATGTATCGTTCAATGCAGTATGAAGCCGCCCCAAGAACTCGGGCGTTTGTCCACGAGTCCTGCTTCGGTGAAATCCTTCTACCCATGATATCGATGTCGCGCTCCGCTTATCATTGGTGGTGTGCATACCGTTCGTGCGCTGCGAGCCGCTCTCCAATGCTGTATCGATATCGTGGCATGCCCGATCAGATTGACGATTTCGATTGGACCTTCGTGACGTGTCGCTACTGTGCTCTTCACGGAAAGCTCTCCGCAGAAATATGTATGCTCGAGTATCGTAGTAATAGCATCGTGTGAAGAGATGCTGAGAGGCTCATGTCGCACAACAGCCCTACGCGACTTGGACCGAGGGCGCTGAACGGCATCCTGGCCCAGCACGCCAATACGTGGCCGCCACTGACAAGCGATTGCGGGGGGAGACGACGCCAGTTTCTACTAGAACGTGTGGCCAGCTTCCAAGGATCTTGACAGGCGCCTTCAAAATACATGTGCGAACCGCGAAAGGGATGCAATGAGCGCATTGACAGTGACGACCGTCAATCTCCCTCCCTTTCCCCCGAGGGCGCTACGTCCGGAGAGGGCGAAGGGCTAGAGGTTTCACCCCAAAACACTGAACATGACACGCCGCAAATCCTTGACCCGGGGATGACAACGACACAAAGCGTCTGAGCCACATGGCGCAATCGAGAATTCTGTCTGCGAACGCGTGATCTTGAGGAAGAGATGTGTGTACTGCAGTACATGACGTGCAGCTGTGTCTACATCCCGTGGTCAGGATGTACCACCATGCGCCTATGGATCGAGGCCCGAGGCCCTGGACTTGTACCCTACAGCAGCCTTCCCTCGTCGCACTGCCTGCTTTGTGATGAAGAAGAAGACGTGTGGCCTCCGCGACATTTACACTGTACAGTGTCAACAATCATTATCATGCATGTGAGAAATGCCTCGAGCAATTTACGGGGTCAGTCGCTCGATTTCATCATTCGCTCTTATGAGGCCTTGCTACCTGCCCGTCGGTAGTCCGTGTGAATGGTCGACACGAGCATCTGGGCAGCTTGAGAGCCGTTCCTCCGGCTATGAGTGCTGATATCAACCACGACGTCCACAAGGCTCATGATATTGGCCATGGTACGCTGAACCCGGACCAGGGTCGCGATGGGCTGATCTGCGCGATCTGCGAGATGTATAATGGATTGGGAAGCGTTTCAGACATCGTACTCAGTGCAGCCTTCCGGTACGGCTTCTTCCATGCTCCATGTGCCGCGTGCGATGCGTACAACCGTGATCTGAGTGATGGCGACTCGATTTGCCAATTCTGCCGGCATCTTCGTCTGAAACATCTGCTTGTTTGTCGTCGCAAAGATTGCTTGGACGTTCCGGTGCGCATTGGTCAATTCAGAGATGCGCAATGCTCCTGCTGTGTCTTTATGTTGAAGCACCTCAACGGGCGCGGTTCCGATGCCGCGAGACTGCGTACCAGCGAATTTAACGAAGCAACTCGGGGCGATCATGACTCTCTTGCACCCTCTTACAATGGACAACGTCTGACATTTGGGATGGCGCAACCTTTGATTTCCCTACGCGTGGGTGCAAACGGCGAAGTCAACCACGAATTCCTGGTCCGAGATAATGGACCGGTCATGGAAGCCGATCCGTCAACCCAAAAGCTACATCATCTGCCCAAATACGTCGATTGGCGATACTTCCGGGATTTTCCCTTTGGTATGACTCTGACATATGGCGATGGCGGTCATACGATTGGAATCCCCTCAGGGATGATTGAGCAGCCCGGACATTGGGAGGCGAGCGCCCTGCCCGAGCAGTTCCGCTGCGTGGACGTGGTCGATGAATGTGTCTGTTTCAGTCCCCGAGGGAGTCCCTACGTTGCGCTGAGTTATGTTTGGGGCCCTGTCAAGTCTTCGGACCTCCAAGCTACTATGGCAAACATACAGTCTCTGGGCCACACACGTGCTCTGTCGCAAATTGAGCTGCCGCAAACGATCAGAGATGCCATGACAGTGTGCAAAGAGCTCAACCTTCGTTACCTCTGGGTCGATCGTCTGTGCAACGTACAAGATGCGCCCGACCTCTCAGAGCTCATCGACAGTATGGGTCTCATCTATGCAAATGCCATATTCACGATAGCTGCAACGGCGGGCGAGGATGCACACCATGGACTTCCAGGCGTCAGTAAACCACGCTCGTGGAGTCAAGGGACCTGGAACGTCTTGGGTCTGGAAATCGTCACATCTGCGCCGTACCTCGACCAGATCATAGTCAAGAACAAATGGAACACAAGGAGCTGGACCTACCAAGAGCAAGTCATGTCCAAGAACTTGCTCTACTTCACTGACTACGGCATGTACTATGTCTTTTCTGAAGCGAACGTGATCATGTCCGAAACTCGTATAGGTTTCGACTGGGGCCGCGGCATTAGCAATACATTGAAATCACGGCAAAGTTACCACTTTGCCCTACCCGAATACACACGACGCCATTTGAGCTATCCCTCCGATTACCTGAGAGCGTTTTCGGGTTTGCTATTTTCGCAGTATGGCAGCCAGACGATGTGGGGCTTGCCATGCGCAGATTTCGATCGGGCTTTACTCTGGAGACCGAGAGAAGCAGCGGCGGACTCTGCGAGAAACGACACGACAAACTTTCCAACCTGGTCGTGGACTTCTGCCGGAGAAGTTCGACAAACACAAGAGATCGAAGTGATTTCCGTAGCGTTATGGTTCTGCATCTCTGATCACGAGTACGACGAAATCGTAGTGCTCGCGCCCAAATTGCAGGGCTGCCCCTTCACTCATACAGATGGGACTGGGGCGGCTGGAAGGGCGCGACTGATAGCAGCGCTCGCGCTGCGAGAGGGTTGCTTTCTTTCGTCTTTTCCCGGTGATTTCAACATGCAGACTGATCAGATTCATCTCGGCAGACTGCTCGCCGAAAAATGGCCCCAATATATACTTTTCTGGCGGGAGATGTTCACTTCTTCTCGGTACGACGTGCACTCGGAGCAGATCCTCTCGCGGTCACAAAGGAAAGCTGCCACTGCCCAGCCTGGCCGGGTCATAGTGCATACTCAGATCGTCCCGTGTAGCAGCTTGTCTTTGGATACTTCTCTCCAACATCTGGTCGCCCGTGAAGACTATAGTTTTAACTTAGCGATCATTCGAGACCACAGTGGTTTTCCTGTAGGTCATATCTCCCTGCCTGCCACATTCCTCCAAGAGCTGGACTTACCGGGTTCAAACCAGCGCTATCACTTCATCTCCCTGGCGGTGACACATGCAGATTGTGAGGGCCCGGTGACGGTGCGTCCATGGCCGGAGGTCGCGGATCCAGATGAATTGACAGAGATGCTATGTCAATTGATAGCCTGCCCGTGCAAACGCACCGCAATTGATGGTGAAAGCAGAGATGACTACAGCTCCCGCGACCACGATAGCATCGACAAGCCTGTCCACCTAGACCTCTGCCCGTTGTATACCGGCGCAAATGGCAAAGGGTCTGCCGCCACCGAATTAGTCCAATCGAGAGGCGACGCATATGCTCCGGGTCGTCCATCTAAATCACACCAACGGCGGATGATCGAGGACACATTCGGAAAGAAAATGTTCGACCAGCTTGGATACCGAGATCGCAACGGCAAGAACATCCTCAAATTCCGTGAATCTTATGCCTATGAGGTGCCTGCGCTCAAGGCGATGCTCATCCGCCGCAGTGCGACCGAGCCGCATGTGGCGACGAGAGTGAACATCGGTCAGATCTACATGAAGAAATGGTTACAGGCTCGACCGCGATTCGAGACGGTGGTATTGGCCTGAGAGGTTCGGACATAGTCATGCTCCCTAGGAAGTATCGTGTTGGGGATTACCACGCCGCATGGTGCGTCTATTGTCGTCTTCGTACAATGTCCGCTGGCGCATACGCCAAAGCAAGAACATCCACAAGTACAGCGAGAGGACTCGTTATGTCTCATATTGTGGGAATGTTGTTGTCTTTGTTGTCGTGGTGCCGCATGGCACGCCTGGCCGGGCCATTTGCGGCACAGCAGTCGCCTGGTCAAGGTGGGTATGGCTCGGCCCAGGATCAGCCCATTCCATCACCATTCTTGTTGTAATTGATCGACATTAGTACATCACCTAATCAGGTTGAATATGCCGTGCGACGTTGCATGTAATAATTCGGATATATGCCTGGATACTGTGCGATGTTAACGTTTCGATACGGGCGGGACGGGTGGAATTGTGAGACGGAAGAGCTGAAGCTGAAACGCCAGCGCGCGTGGCACCTGAGACATATTTCCCGTAGTGTTGATTATTCATCAATTACCGTCATCACCACACATGCTCCTCTTGAGCAAGTCTTCAGATGAGGGCCATCAAGAGTCTTCTCCATTCACGAATTGTATCTCGTGGCACTGCATCTGGTGAGGCAACTTTCCGGACAGGTGAGCTTCCCTGAGGGCGCGCACGAACGCCACTAAAGTTTGATGTGCAGCTTTCGACCCATACACCTATTCCCAAGGGCGTTGGTTGGACAAGGATTCAGAGCGACGAGCTGAACGACATCTATACTTCAACTTCCAAGCTCTCCTCGACACTGTGATTGCCTCATGTCCCGGTGCGCGAAGTGTTGTCAAATGTGAGAAGAAAGAAGGAGGTTTCAACCGAGTGTTCTGTATTCAACTTGACAACGGCCGCAATGTTATCGCTCGGGTTCCAACTCGGGCTGTGGCGAATCCTGGACTCTCGGTGAGCTCCGAAGTAGCGACATTGCGATTTGGTGAGAGCATCCTCCCCTATGGTCACGCCTGCAAAGGTTGTGTGATTGACCTTTCACGAAGTGAGGTGCAACACCACTATACCCGTCCCTGCAGTGCTGTCATGGAGCTCGATAAAGACCAACCCGGTCAGTTCAGAGTATATGGTCATGGAGACTATACCAGGTGTGCAGCTAAAAGACGTATGGAATGATATGTCGGCATCGCAGCACATCCAATGCATATACTCCATCGGGAAATTGACGAAGCAGCTGTGCCAGCACGAGTTTCCAGCATACGGGTCGCTTTTCATGAAAGATTGTGCACCTCAAGGATCTCGATCGCTGGAGGCTGAACAATCGGTCGTCCTTGGGCCCACTCATACTTGCTTTCCGAACGGGGTCCTTCCTATCGAAAGCGATGCGCCAAGTCGCTCGCTCAGCGAATACTACGATACTTGTGAGTGATGAATCTAAAGTAGCAGGCCTTGCATAGTAGCACTGATACAACCAGTATCCCGTTCACACAACATGATATCTGGCCACAATCGAGGGAGCAATGAATCCTTGCTCCGAGATCCTTGGACCAATTTTTCTAAGGACCATGGTATGCTTCTTGACGCGTGTTTTAAAACGCTGGAGTTTCTAGTTAGCCTCCCAGAAGTGCAGGATGCGGCACGTCCGATATTATTCCATCCTGACCTCCACACTCGGAACATTTTTGTCGACGAGACCGACTTGACCAAGGTGACCGGCATCATCGATTGGCAATCCGCAACCGTCTCGCCAGCATTTGTCTACGCGGCCGACACACCAGATTTCGCAGCGAAGCCTGAGCTGGACGAGACGCTGGAAACAGCAGCTAACAAAGGGGCAAGCGCTGACAGCAACAGTCCTCTTGCAAGGATGCAAGCCGATGCAGACTTTTGCGCGAAAACATGGGCGGCTGTAGCGCAGGTGCATCAGGGGTATCGAGAGGCAGGCAGACTCGGACAAACGCTGCTCTCGTTTCTTGCTGCTGGACACTGTGGCTGGCTCAAGGATCCCACCACTCTCCAGGTACTACTCCTCAATCTCTATGAAGATTGGACCGATTTCGGGCTTCCTGGACAATGTCCTTATCAACCCCCCACCGAAGAGATCGCGAGAGCCCGCGAAGTCCGCGAAAGATTGCAGACGACGCAGCGTTTGAAACAGCTCTTGTCGCGAAATCTGAGATGCGACTTTGATGGATGGGTAGCGGAATCGCGTTGGGACGAGGTCGTTCCTTTGTATCGAGCGATTTACGATGATTTTGTGGCTTCATATACTGACGGGATCGTCGACGCGTCCTTGAAAGATCAGGCACGTCAGGAGGCCAATTCCATCTGGCCCTTTGACTTGAGGTAGGAACATACATGCATTATTACATTTTCAACATATGAAGACGAACCCGATGTGTTTTGGATTCCAAGGTCGCTGGCATCACTCTTATACTCGTGCAGATAGTACATCACGCAATGACATTAGACGATAGAACGTTATGGATAGATATATCCTCTGGAGAGCAGTCAGGTCTCGCTTTATCGAGATGTTGTTGTCGTTTTCATTGTTGTTGTTGACTTCGAGGTCATAGATGCCATAGTGCCCAGCGGATTGCCCGGCCAGGCAATTTGCGGCACAGCAGTCAGAGCAGCTGGCTCAGCCCTGCGAGCGGGACATCAGACCTCTTCGAGCACAGAGCGCGTCATCATCACTACTGTTCTTGTTATGATCGACATTCGGATATCACCAATCCCAGGTACTATATGCCGTGTGTCGTGTGACGTTATATGTTGTTTGTTATCATATCGGATATATATACTGTACTGTGCAATATTTCCGATCAAAACCGCGGGAGGAGGAATTTGTGAGACAGAAGCTGAAGCTGAAACGCCAGCGTACGTAACACTGACGGGGCACCTGACACATACAACAGGACCGTCTGCGTACAGTAAACGGCGATGGAACGAGACGACAAACGGTTACGTGAACCTCGGAAGCTTTGGGCCGACCACGTTGGAAGGCCGGCCTGGACTGCCTGAATTCGGCGGGTCCGTGTCCAGGCAGGTGCTGTCGCCCGCACACGCTGTGCGACTGCACCGCAGATGTATAGTAGTAGTACATCTTATACAAGGAGGTCTCTTCCTTATTCACGCAGGTAGGGAAAGGAATATTTACACGATGACTTGCGAACCCTACCCGTAGCATAAATCACGGCCAAGAAGCGGTGAAAGCGAACGCCTCATATACGTATAATGCGCATGTCCATTAGCATAGAGGCTTCGTATGTTAAGCGAAACAGCGAAGAGCACGAGAGTCTCGAATGTGGCGCCGACCGGGTGGGCCACGGAAGGGAGGAAGTTCTATGATTGGACTGGAATGTGTTTCAGAAGGTTCGGATGGAGGAAAGGGGAAGAAGGGGAGGGATGGAGTGGAAGGGATGGTGTGTATGGTGTGTGTGGGGAGAGAAAAACGAGAGGACTGAACCACAGGAATTTGGTGGGAAATCCCTCTCGCTCACATATCCATGTCTCCATGCTTTTCCCTGGGCCATTTGCTATTTTGGCGGCGGTCCAGGAGCAACAGCAAGCAGCTGAGACACCGACGGGCCGGAATCTGACACAAGCTAAGGCTGAATCGGGCCAAGGACGGGCGTGCCGCCTTTCCACTCTTCCCGCTCTTTCACTCACGAAACACTTACTGACATTCACGCCCCGTCACACACTGTCACAGTCACACAGCCGAACTCCTCCTTTCGACGCCGTTTTTTTCTTGCTGTGACCGAAACTCTCGCGTACGCTTCACGACCCTCCACTGCGGCGGCGGGCGTTTCATGTACTTCCAAGGTTCCGACCTTGCACAGCACACACTCTGCTGCACGACGCACAGCTCACACGCGCGCTCTCACTCTCGCTCACCTGCACCATTCAAGTTTCGCCTGCCTCTCACCTGCAGCAGCCTCTTTTATTTTCATTGTTGCCCCCCTCCCCACCTTGGCCGGCCTCTCTGCTGTGTGTACCTGTAAGATTCCACACCACGACTGTACTGCACTGGACTGTACTGTACTGTTCCAACAACCACCAACAACAACAACCCCAAATCCTCCCGAGGTCTTCATCATCATCATCATCATCATCATCGCCAACATCCTTCTCATCCTCCTCCATTTCCTCCCTCCTCTGCCAGTCTGTTCTCTGCGTGCGTTGTTGGTCTCTTGCTGAGGAGATCGTCGCCCGGGCCGTCAGATCACCGACTTCGCCGTACTCGCCCGCAACAGTACTACTATTACAGTATACACCACCCATCCTGCCTACTCCGAAACTCTCGGCTCGGTTTCATCACTCGCCATTGCGGCCCATAATTGGAAACCCACGACTTCGCCTCACGCCTCCTGGCCACTGCCAATTCACGCGTGACGACATTACAATCCTCTGCTCGATTGACGCTGTCCACAACATTTAATCCTATCCTCCGTCGTTACCGCCCGTCGCTCTCGCCTGATCAGCCTCAACATTCACTGGTGGCGTTTCACCTGCGCTCGCTCAATCCCACTTTAAGAGAAACCATAAGGACACTTCATCACCATCATCATGAAGTACTGCTGAATCGATCGTGACACGATCTTCTTTTCGACACACTCGGCCACGCTTGCCACGACCGAACCTATCTCGCGCGCGTGTTGCGCGTCAATTGCGACTGACTGAGCCCAGCTTCTATCGCCGCTCTTCACTGACTATCCACCATGGCTGCCATTGCGACCCGCTCAGCCTATCCTGCCGGTGGCATGACCATCGGCATGCCGGGCAATCACTTTCGCACAGCTCCGAATGCCAATGCCGGACTCGGCCATGGTGTCTTCACCAGCCCGACCGAGTCGGAGTTCTCCGATTCATATCGTAGCGGCCTGGATGCCGTACAGGATTGGGATGAATCGCGTGTCTGTGACTGGCTCGCGAGCATCAACTGCGGACAGTATGTCGACATCTTCCGCAAGAACAACATTACAGGAGAGAACCTGCTGGAGATGGACCAAGCCATCTTGAAAGAAATGGGCATCAAAAAGATTGGCGATCGCGTTCGTATCAGCAGCCACGCCAAGCGCTTTCGGAGTAGTGTCTGCAAGCGCGCAGGCAAACGCAATCAGAACCGAGTACGTGACGCCGTACACCAATGATTCTTGTATGTGGATACAGCTGACATCGATTGTGTAGCTCTCCTTGGCCACATTGGACGGTGCCATGGATGCCCCAGTACCACAGACCGCGCGCCTTCATCCTGCTCGCCAGGGTCAATCCCGACAAACCGGCCGGCAAGCAGATGCCTCCTATGGCGCTCGATCACCATCTCCAATGACCGGTCATGAAAACGCCAATAGCCGAGCCCGCCGTCCAGCGCCATCGCCATTGGAAACCGGTCGAAAAGATAGCAACGGATACACACAGAGCGGCCCGCCCACTGCTCGTTTCACGGGCGCTCAGCGAACCGAGACACCCTTGACTGCGCGCCTACCACCAGTACCGCCAGCAGCGTCGATGGATGACTACAATCCGAACTCTGGCTCATTACCTAAAGGCATGCCTTTGATTCGCGTCATTTACGAAACCGGTCATGCTTCGGTGATCAATATCAGCAATTTCCGAACTTCACAAGATATCATTCGTTCCACTTTGCGCAAGGGCAACCTCAACGAGAACCACCATCGGTCATACTGCTTCTACATTCTGGATGGCCTAGATCCCAGTCCCATGTTCTGTCGACGGCTTGGTGAGGCTGAATTGTGTAAATTGTGCGACGACGACGTGCGAAGCGATCGTGGCCGTCTCATTCTGCGCAAAATCCACGCCGGAGAGCCCAGTCCAGAGCAACTCAAGGCAGCTGCTCGTATTGCCGAGAGTCAGCTACCCGAGCCTCCAGCCATCGAGGTTCAAGCGCCGCAAAGGAACAAGAACAAGCTCCGTTTGGATCGTTCGACCGGAAAGTCATCACAAGATGACGATTATGTTGTCAGTCCTGCAAGCACGAACTTCGACACCCAGAGCTCAATGCAACGGAACGCCAGCAGTGTGTCGACCACATCACAGCGCGCAAGGAAACTCAAAGACTTTTACGGAGCCCGACCGCCGACCGAATTGATCACTCAGGATCTACAATCATACTTCCCGGAAGTTGCCAAGGAAGAGATGGACAATGCTGTCCGCATGTCTATTCGGCGAAGCAGACGACTGAGTCGCGCGGTTCGCACATTAAGTATGGCGAGTAATTTCAGCGTGGCCAGCAGTCTCAATCTGAAGGATGCTCCGCCTTTGCCAACGATTGCCGACACCTGGCTCAAAGATGCCAATGCCTCACAACGTGCCGGCCTCCGACCTCTGAGCGTTGTGCGACTTGGCCGATCAGACTCCCACCGCATGTCGGTGGCAAGCAGCATCCTCTCCCCGCTGGACGAGGAGTCGCCGATCACACCCAATCATCGCCGGAGTTATGCGTCATTTGCGGATAGCAATTCGGACATAGCCACGGGTAGCCTTGCTGTGACAGACCCCGATGGACGGACTTCCTTCTTTGAAGAAAACATGGCCAGCAGTCCTGTACCTACCGACAATGGCAGCAACAGCGATAGCTTGAACTCACGCCTATCACGATTCATCGCCGAGGACGGTGAGGAATTGGACGAGGAGCTCATGCAACATCTGGAGAAGAGCAACTGGGATGATTTGAAATACATGAAGGGTGCCATGATTGGTCAAGGTTCCTTCGGTACTGTCTTCTTGGCTCTCCACGCCGTCACTGCTGAGTTGATGGCCGTCAAGCAAGTCGAGATGCCTTCCAACGACGGTAGCGCCATGACCACGAAGAAGAACAACATGATCGAAGCCCTAAAGCACGAAATCAGCTTGCTTCGTGACATGAAGCATCCCAACATTGTGCAGTACCTCGGATCGAACAGTGACGAGACCCACTTGAACATTTTCCTCGAGTACGTTGCCGGCGGGTCCGTTGCAACGATGCTCGTCAATTACGGCTCCCTCCCGGAGCCCCTCATCGCAAACTTCGTCCGCCAGATTCTTGAGGGTCTCAACTACCTCCACTCCAAGGACATTATCCACCGTGACATCAAGGGCGCCAATATCCTCGTCGACAACAAAGGTACCGTCAAGATTTCCGATTTCGGAATTTCCAAGCGTGTCGAAGCCAGCACCCTCCTCAACTCCGCCAACACCACTGCCGCCGCTCCCGCACCCAAATCTTCTCGCGCCAACCCGCGTGTCTCGCTCCAGGGCTCCGTCTTCTGGATGGCTCCCGAAGTCGTCCGCCAGACCGCCTACACCAAAAAGGCCGACATCTGGTCCCTCGGCTGCCTCATCGTGGAGATGTTCACGGGCTCCCACCCTCACCCCAACTGCACGCAGCTCCAAGCCATCTTCAAGATCGGCGGTGCGCCCGAGAACGCACGCCCGGATATCCCGACGCAGGCGAGTGCGGCCGCGCGCGATTTCCTCCGCCGCACATTTGAGATCGAGCACGAGCTCCGTCCCAGCGCGATGGAACTGATGGAATTGGAATTCTGTGCAGCCAAGGCTTGAGATGGGCCGACGGAATGACGACACGGTGTCGGGAATTCCTTCTTACCCTTCTTGTTCTTTTCTTACTTCTCCCACCCACATCGACTCTCTTCGCCTGCCTCTCGACAGAGCGCGGATGGCGGATGATGCCCCTTTTTCTGGTTGCGATGATGAATATATACATGACGATGATGACGATAAGACGATTAAACAAGATCACACCCTCTCCCCCCTTTTATATATAACACTCACACAAACAAACACATATTCTCTCTCCCTCTCACGCAAAAGCATCGTACCATATTGGTTTCATCACTTCCATTATTTCTCTGGTTGAACTGTGAATACTTCTGTGACTACCTTCCGTGAGCAAGGACTACTACGGCTACAAACCCCTCTGCAACCGAGCATCTTTTGTGGTAATCTAAAAGTGATCCGCCTCAACTTCCATGTCTCCCATCTTCGGTGTCTGTACCAAATTCCATGTACTTCTTTCCCAGCACGCAGTCCCGACCATGTCTGTGATGCCCGGAACGCGAGCATTACGCATTCGACCCTCCCTCATCGCTGTCCATGCCGTCCAGAGCCAACCATCGAAGCGGCGACCTTCGCTTGATCGGTGCCGAAATTGCGCAGATGGTCACAGCCGGTCTGAGCTTCATTTTTCTACACTATCTGGCGAGCCCGCCCGTCCTCGGCATTGCTGCTTGTCCCATCAGGCGGGAAGGGAATGAAAGTGTCGTGAATGCCCGGCTAATCGATCCCGTCGACGGCGATGGTCTCGCATCAACGGAACGCCACGAAGCGAACCTCACAGCTTTGGCGAGGCGGCCCTTGCGGTGAGGCGCTCGGGTTGTTGAACGCGCAGTGGAAAGCATCTATAATTTTCCAATCATCGTTAGTGGGAGAGGACGAAGGAAGATCCCTAGTCGCGCGCGCAAATTGTGGCCCCGCAAGCAATATGGGAGAGGTAATCCTCATTGTGTACGCACATGGGAGCAGGCCAGTGGAGTCCGTGTTCCGGAAAACGGCGAGGTCCTCGGGCTGCTGCTGTTCGATGTAGTACCATCGGTGCTGGTCGTTGTGGTGCAGCAGCCGGTTCTCACCGACGCGGTGGAGATAGAGTAGATCGGCTGTCGTCGTATCCGCGGGATCGATGGTGGTAAAGTCACAGAGCGCGAGCGGCCAGTCGTTGTTCGGTCCGATCAAGGGTCGCCATACGCTATCAATGCAGCAAGCCCGTCAGCTCTGGGAACAGGTTACCGGCTACCTCCCTCTCTCCCGCCCTCTTCCCGGAGCAGACTCATCTGCTGACTACAGAGCACACTCACTTTAGCATATCGTAATCTCGGCCTTGAAAGAACTCTTCCTGCCCGGGGAACGCCGATTTAAGTTGCAGGTCAGCACCGTTCACTGAGAAGTCTACGTGTGCCAATGTTGCTGGTTGTTGATGCGTGACGATGGCGAAAGTGTCAGAGGGGAACCTCGCATCGCGCTTCCTGGCCTGAATCTCGCGCGCAGCTTTTCGTCAGATGGTGCCTGAAAAGCGTGAGATGGTTCTAGCCGGTCCACTCACGACATATTCAAAGGGCTCGACGCGACTATATTCGGGAAATCGCTGCTGCAGAATCGCGGCGAGGCGATACATGTAGGCTTCGTGGGCTGCTTCGAAGTCCCCGAGAGCATCTTCCACCCTCAAGTCCGTTTTGGCGTGCAGGAAACAGAATCCGTTGCGATTCAGATCGAAACGATCTCTGTCGCGGACTGCCTCGATCTTGACGATATGTCGGTCAGTGACATAATTCGTCCTCGATACACCGTCGGTCACCTGGAACTCTGCTCGATACGGCTTCTCCTTGTGGTAGAGCTTGTCGCGCGCGAGATAGTGCAGCTCCGAAAGCGGCATTGCGCAGTGTTCGTTGGGGAATTCGACCGGGGATCGCTTCAAGTCTGAAGTTGTCATGCGTGGCCTATAATGTGGTTGCAAGTGGCAGGTGATTGAAAGTGATATCCTGTCAAGCACATCGAAACAGTGCTGCTACGTCTTGATGACCAAGGGCAATACTACCTGTAAGATACCTACGATTAGTTGCAGTGACGCCAGAACTAAAGTGGCGCCACCAAACAACAGAACAGCCCAGAACGTGTACCATTGCAGCGGCGCTCTCCGATCTCGCCACAGGTCTGCGAGCTCACTCGGTTGCTGCCTCTGCACGAACTCCTGTAGACGCGCTAGTCGCTCTCCAAAGAGGGGGAAATCATCTTGTGAACTGTATGTGTTCTGCTCCTGCAGGGCACCTTCAAAGTTGCGGCAAGTCGAGGGCCATAGCTCCGAAGGCAAGGCCTTGATCTTGCGATTGTGCGAAGACGTGCAAAGCTCGATCAGGAAAGCATCGATATCTTCGCCATCGTCCTGGAGCCGCTTGAGCTCTTTCTTGGCCAGCCGTCTAGCGGCCAGAGTTTGTCCGAAAACAAGCCGATAGGACAAGAGAACTTCCCGTGAGAGCTGTATGAAGCATTCAGTGGCTGCAGAGTTGTCAGCTTGTATATCGTATAGAGCACGATGCATCCTGTGAGACAGTCAGTCCGACTCAACTCCGATAGACAAGCGGAAGACTTTCCCTAATAGTAAAGGTGGCATGCTATCCTTCCTGAGTGCATTCAAGGCGCAGAAGCTTGGGTGTCTGAAAACGGACAGCAGCCGGTTGTCGGCATCAAGGTCGAGATGGCTTGTGATGTTGTCGACCCATTTCAAGCGAATCTTGCCAATTGTGACGAGAGTCGCAAGATTGAGGCTGGGAACCCCAAGATTTGTCGATAGCTCTGGCCTGACTCCACCTACAGGCTGCTGCCAGCGTGTCCGAGGCATAGTCCTTTGAAAGTGGCGAAAGATCGCCGAAACAGGTCTCCTGACCGATTCGAGCTTCAGACCGGCCTGCTCATCACGCTGCTGTTGTACTTTGAGGATATACTGGTCCTCCGATGGTCTCACGGAGAGATCCGGTTGTAAGCACATAGAGCTCCAGCAGATGACGGCAAAAACAAAAACAAAGCATGCAGACTCGACCCCAACTTGCGAGAGCAAAGGATCATCGGACATAGTCGGGACGACTCGCGTCAGAGCAAGGAAGATATCCTCAATCGAGCTGCTATCGTCCGGACGCGCAACCACAACCTTGACCACCTTCTCGAAAGCCTGCCATCCCCGAACAGAATCGGGTTCGAGGCCTTCCACGACTCTGAGGACCGGTGAGAATGCACCGGTGAAGGTGGCGCGGAAGCATGCGTCGAGATACCTGCAGTACGACGCGATCCCCGGCCAACTTGCCAGATCCTCTTCACTACACCCAAATAAAGCTTTCATAGCCTGCGTCACGCTCCGTTCCTTCCAAAGTTGGACGTGGGAGCTGTCGTGCTGCATTTCCACATCCTCGCTTCTTCTCTGGCCTTTGTTCCGTGTCCGCAGGAGGAGGGACAGCCGCGTGCTGTTGCGTTTCCCGCGCATATTGATTCTCGAATGCATGGTTGACGACCGGTGAAGAGCGCACATTGTGAGCAGCTCAAATAAGGCCAGGACTTGTTTCTGCCGGGAGAAAGGACTCTTCAAGGATCCTACCCTGTTCGGTAGCGTGAATGCCGTGTCCTTCTGCGTGACAGAGATGCATGTTTATATAAGAAAGAAATACTGCCTTGACTTCAACGATGCCTATCGAGCCGCCCTTCCCCTCAGCCTCGTTGAGATGCTCCACCGCCATGGTGCGTCAAGGTGGAGTGGCGGCCTCACGACTCGAAGCGCTTGCTCCCACTTGCTTGGTGACACCTTCAACTTCACAGAGGACTTGCATGTGCGTGATGGTGCCACGCGCAGGCATGCACGGTGATTTTGTTGATCGAGCGGGGCCGACAGGGCGTCCGCGACGAGTGATGACCTCGCCAAGCCATCTCAACATGTCCCGATAAGGCCGAAAACGCTAGAGCTTGACTGATAGGACTTCCCTTATCCTTGATCAACGTGCTCAGGTGTGCATGATGTATGTACGATGTGCATGTACATGGTACTGTAGACATATGAGGTGCGCATCGAGCTGGTGATTCTAACCCCACGTTTCCTGAAAGTTTCTCACCGGTCACTTGCATCTAGAGCTTGTGAAGGCTTAGGTCACGACACCACTGCGGAGTGATGGCGCCGATCGGACAATTTCGCTTATCCGTCCAATGAATTGCAATGCACCCAATACTGCACTTCGTTGCGCGCTGCCATGCAGCACGTATTACTCTGACATCTGAGAGCGAGGTACACCACTACATGTCACTCACGAACAACAAGCCTTCCCGATATCTGGTCTCGGAGAGATAGAGATCGGACAAGCGGCTCAGATTCCGATGTCAATGCATGGCAGTTTAGATATAAATAGGGCGTTCTCGATGCTCGAAATTGAGTCTCGACGATCTTGTGTCGTCGACCTCATAACGAACGCGACTTGATACCTGCGATTCGACACCGAGCATTCCATAGACCACAAACAAGATCAAGATAGTCCTTCACATTCATAGCTCTCCAGCTGGTGACTCTTGTATGTACAAGATACAACCATCTCGAAGGTCCCCAGGTCGCTAACTTCTAATGACAGACACCATGGATCCTTCGCACTCGATCTTGACGTTGCTCCAGCCGTGGAAAATTTGGTACAAGGTCGACATGGATCTCAACGTCCACCCGCTCGCCAAGCCAGTTTCTCTCAGCCTTGGTGGCCAGGGCAGTCTGCCACAAAAGCCTCGCAAGGTGGTCCTCAGTGCTCCTATCAAGTCGCCGGCAGACATCTGAAAGATTCGCATTCATCACTGATGCTAGAGGCACGCATCTCGTGGGATTTGGAGTGTATGGGGCCATTGTTCTACGTCGAGCTTCTGCGAGATCATGCTCCGAGATTTAGATACCAGTCAATTTCCCTTCGTCTCTACGTCCCTTGTTTACCTCGTGTACCTCGTTGCTCATCTGATCTCTCGCCCTCCAAGTATAAGGGTCTGTTTATGACATCGGCAGTATCATCTCCACATGATGAAGACTACACTATCGTAAGTAGCCTCGATACCAAACTCAGTCGCGTCTGGCTTGCGCTGGCGTAGCAGTATCTCAGCCTTTTCTCTCAGCTCACAAGCCCTTTTCTCCTGCTTGTTTTCTTGCTCGAGAACTTCTGACAGCTTGAACATTACTCTAGCATGTTCACCTACCCGCTTCTCCTTACGTAACTTGGTAACCACGAGGGCGTCTTGAAGATGTTTGCTACGAATCATGGTCAGCGCCGATTGTCAAGATCAAGCTGCAAGGTCACAATCTCACATTGCTGCTTCGTTTTTGCCTTGGTCAAGAGCAACGCAGCCAAGTTTGTACATGCAAGCAGCATTGAAAGGCGCAGTACGCAATTGGTCCCCTCTACACCAAGCGTTTTGTGCCTCCATGAAGTAGGCCTCCGCAATCTCGAAGTTGTTTTTGCGACGATGGAGGTTTCCTAAAGCAAAGCGAGTGCTGCCACAGGAACCCAGTCAGTATCGGTGCACTTTGGACGTGATCTAACTACTTCGAACTTACTATGCTGCATCTGCCCAACTGTAGAGCTCCGATGATTCGTATGCTTCTAGAGCCTCTTTGAGCAGCCGCTGCGCATGGTCGAGATCACCAGTATTGATTAGAGAGAAACTCATGTCGGTTTTCAGGGTAGCAGGCCAATCTTCGGTCGTCTCAGGGTTGCCTTGTGACCACTGCAGCCATAAACTGCGAGCGGTCTCGAACCACTCAACTGCCTGGTCAAATTTGTTCGCGGTAGCATATCCGTTACCGGCATTTCCTGCAGCCCATGCCGACTCGGTGGGCTTAAATGGTTCATCTCTGCTCCTAATGTCATAGGACTTTTCAAGCCATTGGATACCAGCTTCTGTATTGCCCAGCTGACACAGAAGCTGGCCTCTGTGAGATGTGAGAGAACCCTGCAGCGCAACGACCTGCTGCTCGATGGGAAGAGCGAGTAAAGCCAAAGAGTTTACCTCCAACAATTGCTCCAATTCGTCGAGGGAGTCGATCTCAAGAAGATATCTGTGCTTCAATCAGCGGAGTTGCAACTCGTTTGTCAGGAGCAATATCTACCTCTGGCAAGCATTGTTGAGATCACAGTACGCCTGCACTGCCCGGAACTTGGGAGACAGTTTGCTTTCTTCCTTGTAAGAATCACGTAATTGTAGAACGTGATCAAGTAAGGCGGCGCACCGATCCCACATGGAATACAACTCCGCGGCGGTAGCATCTCGACGAGGAAACTGATGAGATATCAATGTAGCGGCGTTGTTGAAGCTAGTGTTTCGTTGCTCTAGAGTCATGAATGACTTGAAGGATGACTGAACAACACGGTGAATTGAGAACGATCGAGAAGACCTATCACGTTGGATGAGCGATTGCGTAAGCAAGACTTCTACTGCCGATGAGAACCTATACGCAAATCAGTAGTTACCCTCCTGTCGAAAAATTGACTTGCTTACGCATGCTGGTCAGCAATGAAGTACATGGACTCAGTGAGGACATCTGATTGAGGCTCAAAGATTGATTGCGTAATAGCGTCCGGGGAGAAATAACAGAGGGTGCCCAGTATTGTCGAAGCCTCTACACTGAGATATTTGAAGTGGAAGTTGCAGATTGCCTCGATCCGAGCTGCTCCTGAGACGCCGGACACTTCGCGCTGATAATGCTCTACGCCGTCTGCAATAGACCAGGAGCGCTTGTGAATGAGACCGGCCATGTGAGATATGTATAGAGCGTGACCACTGAGTTTTTCTGCCAATTCATAGGCAGAAGTGACTTCACTTTCCCTAATTTCGTTACCAATTTCGTTCGACAAAAGGTGGAGAAGATATCGCGCTCCAGTAGCGTTGTCCCAGCTTGTAAGCTCAAGACCGCGCTCAGCCACGTCGAATGCGAACGATCGATTACGAGTGGTAATGATGGCTTGGCCACGGCTGGCAGCGGGCCAGTACGACAGGAGCAGGTCTGGGATTTCCGCATTGTCGTACACCAAGAACCAGCGGCATCCTAAAAAGTTTATGTTAGAATCTTGATCTGGCATTCAACAAATTGCGAGAACACCAACGAGTAGTCTGGAGCCAACTCAGAACCAATGACTGGTTTTCAACATGGTCGCACTGTTTAGCATCAGGCAGTTTAAGTCGCAAGGCGATGTCTGTGAAGCTCTGCTGGATGGAGACCGGTTTCTCAGCTTTGATCCAAAACACTGCGTCAAGTTCACCTCTTTGAAGCTTCGTTTCCACATATCTATGGGCGATTGAACTCTTCCCGATGCCACCAAGGCCCCAGATGGCTAGTGAACAAAGGTCGTCCCTGGATGCACCCTCTTTGAAATGGCTCTCGATCTTCTCAATGACATTTTCTCGATTGTAGAAACGGCGCGTCTTGATGGCCGGTAAGATAATGCAAGGCAATTTTGCAATCTCAAAGCTGGATGATTCTGTGGCTTGAGAAACGGGCAAGCTCAGAGGTGGCCACAAGCAAGTCCGGCTTGCTTGACTTGCTTGACTTGATCCAAATGCGGTTAGTCACCAAGTCAAGTCGGCCAGGTTTTTATGTGTAATCAAGTCAAGCCGTAGATTGAGACTTGCTTGACTTGCTTGACATAGGTCTTGGCATAGATCTAGATTGTACATGTCGCGTACACTATGGCGAGAGTCACTCATCCGTATAGATTAGGGTCTCAGCGTGACCCTCCAGCTGCAACCCAAACCCTTATTTTCCCCTGCGGATACTGCCGGCGTCCAGACAGCCAATCAAAAGCTAGTAACCCCGACGTCACCTCACAGCTGACCTCCGAGTTACTCTAGAGACACGCGAAAAAGAACGCTATTCTACTCATTATTATGGCCTCAATCATTAGTGACGACTTGTCAGACCCACCGTCTACATCAAATCTCTCGATACCTACCGCAATCCAACGATCCAGCGACTTTCAGTCGAACACGGGCGCAAATAGTAACGATACCTCTGTACACTCTTGGGAATACGACGGTTTCAATCTACGATACCTCTCGAGAGAGTACGACGTCGACAACGTTGGCGAAAAGAAATCGTTCATCTATGAGCATGGCTCGAGATTCATTAAGAAGAGCGATCAACAAGCCTACTAGCTATGCCGATATTGTCACCAGAGCAAGCCGATGAAGTTCTCGGCGTTCACTGTCGCT